TAGGACACTGAAGAGCACCAGGTACTAGGCTGCTCCCATTCGGGGCTGATGGCTGCCCAGAGCTCCCTATGTAGAGGACTATCTGCAGCTGGGATTCCTTCCACTCTTCACCTTCTCCCGGCCTCCACTCATACCCAGGCCCACCACCTCCTCGGTGACAGCTGCAGAGATGGATTGGAAGTTCTAAGAAGAAACTTGTGTCCCGGGTTACCCATTCCTTTCTCACTGAACATCCCGTTACTCGAATCCTAGTATGGCCATTACGGCTTTAAGACATCTTTGCTACCGTGCAAATTCATTAAGCTATTACTTTGAAAACACCCAGATGCAAATCAGCTTTGCTGAATGAAGAGGTCAAAGAAAAGGCCCAGCAAGGATGGCACAGCGGTCAGACCCCAGAACTGGGCAGGGCACAGGCAGCAAGTCCGGCCCAGCTCTGGACCTCACCTGGAAGGTGGCCATTAGACCAGGTGGCACCCATGTGCCGTATCTGTAAGGAGAGGGTCCAGGCAGGTGCCCTTCCCAGGAAGGAGCCTCAGGCTATGGCTTAAGCACATCATTAGGATGAATAATTCTGGACACATCGGCCTGAGAGTCACAAAAACCCGGATCTGACGTCCATCTCTCCTCTAAACGTCCATGGTCTTACTCTGCTTGACTGAACCACGAATACTAGGAACCTAAGAGCAAGGTCTGTGAGCATCAGTGACAAGTTCACAGTTGGTGCTCATGGCTCCACGGGCTTCTACAGGCGGAGCGGGTGGTTGGAGAGTCTTCCCAGTCACCACAGAGAAGATTTAACAAGTAAAAACCTGCAAACTCTTTATTAAATTCTCCCATTTCATCTGTACAGAAAAAAAATGCACATTATGTTCAGAATCTCAGTAACATCTCAAAATTACACAGCAAGAACATGTAAAAACAAGGAACTGCAGGGATTTTATACATAGAAAGGAAAACCATTTACAAAAGAGGCTTGTTCATTTTACTTTTCTTTCTTTCTTAAAAAAAAAAAGGTAAAGGCCTAAGATCTCACACAGCATGTGCTGCACAGTCTGCTTTCCTGCTCGGACTGACCTGGGAGCACTGTTGGGAGGAGCCACTCTGTCCAGGGCACTGCAGTCTGACCTCCACCCCCCAGCATGTCTGCATAGGGCCTGCTGGGCTCTGGGTCCAGGTGTCAATTCTACGTTGGGGGAAGGCAAACAGAATATAGAGGCACTATCTGAATTTTCTCCTTGCCCAGGGAGAGTTCTCTACTGCACGTATCCCAACATCCCTACCTGTGAAACGCAATAGATTTTGGGAAGGGGGAAGGGGAGGAAACCACCGTCAGGATCCTGTCACCACCAGCCCGAGCAGACCACCACCTGGGTCTCCGGTGACCTCACTAGATGGCTGGGGGAACCGGTCACTGAAGAGTCATGACTTATCTGCTGACGTGGTTGCCCTAAAATGTGATTCTTGATTGCCTAGTGGAGAGGAGGAGGACGACGAGCAGTGCAGTTAGAGGAGCAGCCAATCAGACAAATGAGAGAACTTCCCTCTGGCCCAGGGCCTGGGGAGTCAAAGACCAATGCGGAGGAGTGTCCCGGAAAGCCAGGGCACTGGGGTGCTGCATTTCACAAAACTACTTTGGTGCTGCACACATGGTGGGAAATATAAAAGGGATCCTTGAGGTTTTTCAAATTTACAAGAACCTGAAATACAAATAAACATCATTTAAAAGCCATATTATTTTTGTTCTATGGCCAAAATTTTGGTTGAACGTGTCAGACTGGGCTGGCTTGCTTCCAGGGGTACCTATTCTAGCTTCCTTCTCCACATCTGCTTGCTTAGTGTGAGTTATATGTGAGGGAGAGGAAGAAATGGGAAGTGAAGGCCTTGGAGGTCAGCTAAAAGGAGCCCAGGAAGCAATCTACCCTCCCTGGTGAATCGCTGAGGTGGGGACTTGGGGCTAGAAGTAGTACCACAGCCTGGGGGCAGGGAGGATGGGAGACAATTTCGGAAGTCACACTCATATGAGGGACTCTTCTCTTGGGAGAAAGTAGGGAAGTCAGCACACAGCTGACACAGCTGTAAATGGACACTACGACCTGTGAGGCCAGAACATCCACCCTCTATCCTGTGACCTCGGGAAATGGGAAGAGATGGGGGTCTCAGGAATGTTCTGTCACCTCGTCCAGGAAAGCAGCTCTCCCCCCGCCAGCAGCACTGCTGTCCCCCAGAAAAGTGCAGGATGGAGAGCCCTGAAGGCTGGCAATGAGGTCAACACCTGCTCACTGAACACTAGAGCTCCCCTGGCTTCTAAGGATGCACAGGCTCCGAACGAGCTGACTGGACCCACAGAACTGGGGCTGGGAGTGCTGGCAGACGCATCCGGGGAAGGCAGAGATCTGGAGCCTTTGCAAGGACGCCCATCTCGGCACACCTTGCTAGCAGCTTCTCTTGGGGCAGCAGGAATAGTGGAGGGCCAGGGGGGCACCAGGTGGTCTCCTCCTGGAGCCACCCTCTGCGGGAGATGCTCCAGTAGAGGGCATTCGTCTTGTTCTTGACATCTTGCCCAGATTTCTGATTTCCGCCTGTACGCAGTGCCTCCCGCCCAGGAGGCTGCCCTCCTGGTGCCTCTGGAACATCGTGGAGCACACCAGGTATGAGTCCCTGAGACACTGGAGCGCGCTGGTAAGGCAGGGGAGTTACCTGGCTACTGTCATTTTCAACAATTGCCAGGAGCCTTGGCCTTGGCCAAACCCCCACCTGCTGCTTATGTTATTGTTCAGGGGCTGACATCAGAAGAGATAAATGACAAGGTCTATCATCAGCTCCTCGCTAGGGCCATGGTTCCTCCTTGGCTAATTCTAGGCTAGGTGACTTACCCTCTACTGACCGGAGGCTGGCAACCAGAGGTGCCTGTGTATGTTTTGTGACACCAAGTGCAGAGCAGCAGAGGTGCAGCTGCAGGTGCAGGTGGTGCTGGGCGTGGAAATCCGCCTGGAGCCCCCAGAACCATCACATCAGACTGCTCCGGGAGGCTGGGGAAATGCTCTCTTACGAGCCACTGCAGACACAGGCAGAGTCCCCCTTCTATTCCGACCGTCTCTAAAGGCGACAAAAGTTTCAAGAATCAAACTCCTCAAACTTCCTGATCTGTTGCAGACAATGAAGGAGATGGCCCCAGCTCAGAAAGAACAGAAATCTCGAGGCATTAAATTATGGAGATGTCTGACATGTATAGGGAGGGAGACTGCAGAGATGAGAATGGTACCAGCCCCTCCAAATGGTGAACATCAATCCAATCCTGTAAACAACACCAGACACGTCAGGGGGCCTGCATTTAGAGGACACCCCACTTCTCGATCCCAAGCCTCAGCAACCTCCACCACCCAAGCGGGAACCCCTGGGGAAATGGTTGGGACCAGCTCAATTTGGTCCAACAGTGGAGGTGGTAGGGGTGTTGCTCAGACTCCCAGAGTTTCAAGTTTTATGAGACGGAAGAGTCTCAGTTGCTGAGCATCAGGAAGACCTAAGAGCAGGACTGAGGGAGCCAAGCCGCTGTGTGGCTCCCTTGGTGACTTGTCAGCCCAGGCAGGGGCAACACACAGCTGACTTCTGGAACCCACTGCCTCCAGGAAAGGTCGCAAGGAGAAATGAAAGAAAAAGAAGACCACAGTATCAAATACACGCCAGTCAGGTCAGAGCAGGAGCAACGTGGACCAACTGACCCATAAACTGACCCACTCTGCACTGAACACATCTCAGGGGAGACGAATGTGAAGGTCCACGGCACACATGGACGGTGGCCAAGGGGGCGGGGGAAGGGCGCCATGGTCTATGCAGACAGTTTTAGGCACATGATTTATAACACTTTGTGGACGTCTAACAGGTTAATAAAATATATATTATATAAATATATCTCCTACTGTACACGCCGCCCTCTAGGCAGCCACTGTGACTCCATGCCCCAAGTCAAGCCAGCCGTGCTGGGTAGAACCATGATGCCTGCGTCCTCCCTCTGTACGCTCCAACCTGTCACCTCCACACCTCGGGGTGAGGGAGGGTGGCCAGGAATATTGCTCCCATTAAGCTCAGATTCTGAAAAGACTGACGAATCCCCAAAGTACATTTAGCCAATGCCTTCTACCGTGGGTGTATGCAGCAAACGGACAGAAAGGAAAAGAATGGAGAAAGCCTCCATCTTTTAATGTGAGAACTTTCCACCCCCCTGCATGTAGAGGCATAAAGGAGCTGTCTAGGAAGGTGGCTCAGAGCCTGCAAAAAGGTCAGGCTGGACTGCAGTCACACCTGAGACCATGCTACATCTTTCTAAGCCATTACCCTGACCTGCAACGTTGCCTGAAAAATAAAGCAAAGTGAATCAAGCCCTGGCTCCTCCTTCCTCCCCCAGCCCCTCCCCCACGTGTGCTGCTTCCAGCACCTGCCGCCCAGCAGGGCAATCCCCAGGCAGCCGAGCCCTGCACTAGCCTGGAGGAGGGAGGGCACTGGGATTCTGCTGCCTGGGGACCCGGGTCCCGCCTCTCAGTGCAGATCAGCATCACAGAGTTTTGATCTTCTCCCCAATCCATTTGCCTCTGGCCTAGGGAGGCTCCGGCTTTACTTCACTGAGGTGAGGAGATCGTAGGAATACATATGGCCATGGGGGTCTTGACCAGCAGTGGCTCTTTAGGGTGGAAACTGGAAGGCATCACTGTTTCAGCAGAAGAAAACAGGATCCGAAGTTGGCTGGTTAGTGGTTTCCCACCACTTGGTGAAGTCCATGGCCCTGACATGGCCCAAAGGTGCTTTTGAGAAATGAGCAAGACATCCCAGCTGAAGCATATTGGGTGGAGTGTTTCCCCTTTAACGTCCTGTCTTCATTATACACAGTCACACAGAAGAAAGAACCCACTGCCCAAATCAAGCTTGGAGGAGGTGTGCTACTATATACATTTTTTCCTTTCTTTAAAAACTTATTTCCTTTTTTTTGTGTGTGTGTGGTTTTTTTTTTTTAAGAAATCATTTGAGTTGCAGGTCAGATGAGTTGGTTCTGGAAGTACCTGTGGTTCCATTGGTATGAGAGACTTGTCTACACTTGTCTACAGGTAAACCTAAGTCTGCCAACAATGGCGATAACCAAGTGGCCAGCGGCTGATGCTGCGCAGATGGTCGGAAGGAGGGACACCATGACACGGGTGAAGTCTGAGATGGGACAATGCAGTGGTACCTGCTGCTGCTCTAACATGGGTGTTTGTTGGTGGCACCTCTGAGAAGAACGAGGTGAGTGGGTACGCTATACAGGAGGGCTGTACAAACTAGGTACTGGACAGACAGTTCCTTTGGTGGTCAAGGTGGCTCTACCTGTCCTTGAGCTCTCGTGTCACTCGTTTGGTGATACGTCCACACATCAGGCCAATCAGGAACAATATACAGATGCTCCCACTGATCACGGAGAGAATGTAGTTCTTTGACGGGGATGTCATCACCTGCATGGCGAGGTCAGAGAAGCCATCCGCGGGGGCCACCTGGAGTAACATATGACAGCATCACCCTCTGAGAGAACCGGGCTGGGGTGGTGCTAGCTCTAACTTGCCCTACCTTGATTCCTAGTTTAATTTATGTCATTTCTTTTGAGGAGCAAGGGCAAGGGACAAGAGCTACAACTCTTTTTTCTGATCATAATATTGTATGTATCTACTATGTAAGGTTAGATGGACCTGGAGATGATTATGTAAGTGAAATTAGCCAGTCAGAGTAATACCATATGATCTCACTTATATGTGGACTCTAATGAACAAAATAAACTGAAGAACAAAATAGAAACAGAGGCATGGATACATGGAACAGACTGACACCTGTCAGAGGGGAGGGCGCTGGGGAACTGGATGAAAGAAGGTGCAGTGATTAAGCAAAAAACCCCCACACACATATATAACACACAGACACAGACAACAGTGTAATAGCCAGAGGGAAAGGGAGGTGGGAGCAGATGGAGGTGGATAGAGGGGGGATAAATGGGACGGAAAGAGACACTACTTTGGGAACGGGTGTACAACGCAGTGTGCAGGTGATGTTTTGTTAAGTTGTACACTTGAAACTTGTATGGTTTTATGAACCAATGTCACCCCAATAAATTCTATTTAAAAATAAAAATAAAAATAAAGGATCTGTTAAGAACATAAAGATTAGAAAATACAGCCAAATCCAAAGAGGGGGAGTCTCATCACAGCAATCTCTACCCCCAACAAAATAACAGCCCACTGAGGACTGGGCGACGTGCTGGGCCTTGGAAAGGGCTCAGCATGTTTGCAACCAGTCAGCCCTCACACCACCTCGCAAGTGGGTTTTATTATCCCATATTACAGATGGGGACTTGGAGGCCCAAGGACTAGGTGGTGGTTTAGTGACTTGCAAAAGGTCACAGGTTCTTATGTATTCTGATTCATTTTATTCATCATGTTTGCTGCCTTTTAGAAAACAATTCAAATTGTGTTATATGCCAATTCTTTATCTTGACTTGTTTGCACTCACCATTATATCTTAAGCACTCCCCCACATCAAAAGTAACATGCAGTTAAACCGGTTTGGCTCAGTGGATAGAGCGTCGGCTTGCGGACTAAAAGGTCCCAGGTTGGATTCCGGTCAAGGGCATGTACCTTGGTTGCGGGCACATCCCCAGTAGGAGGTGTGCAGGAGGCAGCTGGTCGATGTTTCTCTCTCATCGATGTTTCTAACTCTCTATCCCTCTCCCTTCCTCTCTGTAAAAAATCAATAAAATATATTAAAAAAAAAAAAAGTAACATGCAAACATGATGGACAAGGACTGAATATACTTCCCCACTTCCCCATTGTGGGCACTGCCATGTAACCAATCTTCACCCTCAGTTTTCCTCACTGCGTTCTCAAATGCGCCTCTAGTAGCTGCTACGGCAGAATCAGAACCGGAAGGCTCCCAGGCACAAACTGTTCTTTTGAGTCTCACCTTAGCTGGGTGCCTGAAAAGGGCTGGCCCCGAGGTGTCTGGGCTGCTTCTTTGCTCAGCCCATGTACACAAAACAGAGCAGGAGGCTTCAGATTAATGTAATCTGAGCGCCAATACTTGTCAATCCAAAGCAAACAGTGGCAATTCTTAGCAGCTCGAAAGTGGAAACCAGTGCGGAAAGAAAAGGGAAACTTCATCTCTACTGCCTCAACTAACCAAGGACGTCAAAGCTGATGTTCCCTCAGGAGAAGGAGTAAGGGGTGCTTAATCCCTTGCTATTTTGACAGTTATAGTCCCTTATATCTACGTATGAAAACTTCCTGTGGTCTTTCCCGCTTGCCTGTTACCCTTGAGCTTTAAGCACATGGGTAACGGGAAGTCCTCTCTCTCGATCTCAGGATCATCTATCGCAGCGAGGGAGATAGAAAGAGCGTGGATCTAGAAACCTGACCTTTTCGCCTTGGGCAAGTCATAATTTAGGAAGTCGAAGTTCCCTCCACCATAAAATGAGAGAATAATCATTCCACTGACCTCATAGGTTTCAAGTTTTAAATGAGGTAATATATCCATCAAAGTGATCTGTGAACTACAAGGCAATGTATACATGAGAAGAACTGTTATCATTCTCTCACTGAGTCTGAGTTTTTGTAGGAAAAATCCCCCCCGGCCAAGTCCGCCTGGGTACCATACACTTTCACCGCTGTCCTACTGTCTCTCTCCATCCTATGAGCTCCGTGTTCCAGGCTAGCCGAGGGCCAGTCTCACATCCGTATTTTGCTCCTATAGACTGTGCAAAATCAGAAAAACAAGCTACAGCAGGAGTGGCTGGATACCTTTCTTTTTTCATGGGCATGATGTCTAGTTTCTCTTTGCACAGCTGGCTTAAGTCACATCCTTCCTTCGGGTGACTCACTTTTCAGTGGTGGACTGTGGGCCCCTGAGGGCAGAAGTAACAGCCCTGGCAAACCCTAGCAGACACAGCCCAATGCAAAGCAAGACGGTTCCAGGCTCATGGACAGCCAAGGAGGCTCAAAGGTACCCTGACAGATTTTTCTAATACTCATACTGCTGGCCTCACAAGGACTAGAAAACCAGTGAAGTGCCTTGAAGAGACTGGAAACTGACAGAACAGATGGCCACTTCAGCAGATGCTCTTGGTCATTACCTTCGCTGCGTAACTCCACATCTCAATCCGATCATTGAGGCGTTTCTTGCACTCCGGTTGTAACCTCACCCGCTTGTCCTCCAGGGCCTCCATGAGGCAGGACATTTCTGTGGAAGGAAAGGGATAAGAACAGTCTGAAACCTACAGAACTGAGAGATTTCGGTAAGGTTGGGGGGAAGGCTATCTAACCACCAGAGACTTCAGATCTGTTGGGTGAACAAAGTTAAATCCATTCTAGGAAACCTGACCCAAGATGTAACATGGAGAATGATGATATTTCATTCCCACATGGACTGTCCAGTCTCTCCTAAAACCTCTTATATTTACTGGGCACACATGGCACAGAAACAACTCCCCACCTGCCCTGGTTCTACCTCACACAAAACCTGTGCACTGAGCCTAATGTGGCCACTGGGGAAACTGACGAAGCTGAAGCTGGACAAGATGGGAAAGAGATCCATGATGGTGGCCTGACTTATGCTTCCCCAAACTCAACTCTCGCAGCGAGGTCCGTTCACACTGCAGATTTACTTCAAAGTTCATTTTGCCACAAAGGCTCTCAGAGGATGTCGTCTGTGGTTGAGCTGCAGCTACAGAACAGAGTAGCTGCACCTAATGTCTCAGGGGGAGTCTTTGCTCCTCCCAAGACAGTTCAGACAGGGTCAGCGTGTACAGGGACTTACGACGCCCGCGGCCAGGGGTGATGGCTGCGCAGTGGTGTTTGATGTCCAGGGCACAAGCTGTGTGAAGAACTGGGTCCACAAAGATGTCTGCTTTGCTTTCCTTCAGCATGTTTAACACCTCCTGGAAAGGGAAGAGCATTGCAGAGAGAGCTTTTGTGGAGACAATACATCAGATCTGCTGTCTGCAAATACTTTAGGTACAAAGAAGTCAAGGAGAGAAAGCTGAGACAGGCGGCAATGTGGTGATGATGCAGAGAGTGCAGATTTCTAGTATCCAATTTTTTAAAAAGAATAGTTTATTGATTCTGAGAGAGAGAGGGAGGGAGAGGGGGAGAGAGAAACATCAATGTGAGAGTGTAACATCAATCTGCTTCCTCCTGCACACCCCTTACCGGGGATCAACTCGCAACCTGGGCATATGCCCTGACAGGGAATTGAACCAACAACCTCCTGGTGCACAGGACAATGCCCAATCGAGCCACACTGCCAGGGCATTTTAGCATCCAACAAAAAATTTAATTCAACAAATATACTTGGGGACCTACCTAGTGAATGAAAAGCTGTTTGCTAAACAAAGCAGGAGATTGTAAGATCAGATTTGTATTTTTGACATTATTATTAAATACTAAATGCTAGTATTCATATTGATGTAATACAATTATTTTGTTACTTTAAGAAGTCAGAAAATGTGAATTCTGAAAATCAGAGTAATACGCTATACGAAAATTCCCAAACAAAAGTAGGTGTCTGCAAAATGTTTCACTTTACCTCCATTATCCTCAAAAGGAAAAAATTAATTCACAAAGCATAATGCTACTGCAACAATAATTCTTATTTGAGTTTAAAGAAGTTTTGAACAAGAGACATATAAGCATAATAGAAGTAAAATCAACTCTGCAAACCCTCCAATTATATATGATGAAATTATAGGAGGTAAGGACAGGCTGGAAATGATTTGTTAAATAAAAATTAGTTTGCTCTCAATAAAGACCGTGGTTCCTGTAAAACAACAATAAAAACAAAAACCCAAAAATAAAACTCAAGTCCCCACACTGGGGGTCAAGCCTGCAACCCAGGCATGTGCCCTTGACTGGAATTGAGCCCGGGACCCTTCAGTCTGCAGGCCAACCCTCTATCCACTGAGCCAAACCAGCAGGCCACTGAAGCACTTTTAAAAAAAGATAATGCTTTTTAAAAAAATGGTCAAATTTTCAATTTTGTAGTATACTGTATGCTTAGTCATATTTTGATAAATTTGTTTTTATGTGATGTTTCTGAAATGAATTAATTTTTAGTTTGATTTTTATGAATGCAATGCACTTACTGATATATTGGAATTGACATTTTGCTCTGGTATTCCACTCAGAGTGCCCTTTAAACAATGGCCTAGTCATGGAAATGAGACATTCACAAATAATTAGTACATGTGACAGAATATTTAAGTTATAGGCCATTGATGGTCAAGAATCAAATTAAAGTTTGGTAAGAGAGAACAGCACAGCATTCTGGGAAGGAAGGTTTAGATTTTATCAGTAAAACGTGCAGAATATAGCATTAAAGGAAAAAGGGGGAGGAGGAGAGAAAAGCAAGTGGGGGGAGTGATGATGGCGGTTACCCTTTTGCACATGTCTGTTTTGATTTTGAGCAGGTTCACTTTGAGGCACTCCTCCACCTGACCAGTCTGCTCCTGGGCTGCTGCTTCCTCGGCACACAGATTGGAGATCTGTCCAGGAGACACACAAAACAAGGCCGCCCCACTCTCACCAGAAACCTCGGTCTCTGAAATGTGCAGATCTGGCGATCCTCCCACACACGTGCCCAGAGCTCCACTCAAACGGATTCCTCCTCCTCCCCTCCCTCCAGAACGAGATACCAAGCTCCGTTTTTTGTTTTCCTTCACAAGGACTGGCTTTCCCTTTGTATCCAATTTTACTGGCTTTTCCTTTTCCTTCGTCAACCCTAAGACCTGAGAGACTGTCCCAGGACTGCTCAAGGACTAGCATCAAACATACTCCCTGATTCCACAGGAGGAAGGTCGTGCAGCCAAGTTCATACTAAAAGCAAGTGCTTCACATTTCCAGAGGTTCAGGGTCAACCCAGACTCACAACTCAAACACACACAGAGAGGGAGAGAGAGAGAGAGATATCCGGGAACATAGCCTGCAGCACAGATTAAAAACTTAATCTTTTTTGGACAGCTTTGAGTAAGCTGTTCGAAGTATTTTTAGCTACGACCCCCCTCAAGTTCACATACATTGAACAAGGTTCTCCACTCGGCCCTTTCTAGCTAGGAAATCAAATGATTTCCAAGGACTGGCACTTCTTTAGAGCTATTATAGGAGCACGTCTATCTTTCTGCCAAGTCTTGGGGTGTTCTGGGTTCCTTATCAGAACCAGGAGAAGGGAAGAGTAAACTGTATGTAGAGACATAATAGCAGAATGATTTTGTTTAATGGAGAACTACAGAATCAGCCCTGCATAGTGACAGGACTAATTCCGAGTTACAGAGAACCAGGAACTTGGACCATGGAGAGCCTAAAGGTGTCCCTTCAACTCACCCTGGAGCCAGGGCTCAGGGAAAGAGAGTAAAGAACTTTGCTCCAATGAAACTTCTCTGACCAGCTCTGTTCACAACCGGTTTCATCCCCAATCCTACCTCATCCGAGCAGTGTAGCTGCAGCTGAGGATCGAGTCGGTAATCCAGAGCAGACTCCTGAATAATAATCCGGATCTGGTCTTCGCAGTCTGAAGAGAGGCGCTACATGTGACAACGGGAGAACATGTCAGGCTGTTAGACAACTTCAGCTTTTACTTGGCCCCTGATGTGGGGAAGGTGTAAAAAGGTCCTGGGGCAGTAGGAGCGAGTGAGGCCTTCCCACGAGAACCAGTGCCAGGAACAGAGGCGGCTCCATGAACACACCTCTGTGGAGAGCCCGGGCCAATTTACCTGGTCAGCATATCTCAGCTTGAGGCAAGAGATGACTTGGCCTTCCAGTTCCGAATCCTCCTTGGCCTTAGTCAGGATACCGTGACAGAATTTAGGAATGTCGGCTTTACAGGCTTTCCTTAACACGGGGTTTAGGCGGTAATCTAGAGCAAAAAGTGTTAAGAACATGATAAAATATTCCAACTGGATTCACAAATTTTTAGAGCCACCTGCCAAAAAGGGACATATTATATCAATGACCACAAATAAACCATTGATGTATTTATTCAATGAATGTATATATACTGAGCTCTATTTGTTTTTAGTCAGAAATACAAACCAGGAATCCCTCTACGGGACAGCAGCTGCTCAGAGTCTGAGACTGATCTTCTGAGCAGTCCTCACAAACATCAACCTTCCCCATACAGTTAGCTTTGAAAATACTGAGAACAGAATATCCAACTCACCTTGGCCATTTAGTTACAAGGTAACTCAGGGATGAAATTTCTCTGCTCTAAAATGAATGACCCATATACTCACCTGCCACATGCGTGAAGTTTTATTAAATCTCTAGACTTTTCAAGAAATCTAGCCCTGATTTCTTTTGTAAGCCCTTCAAAGGCAGTTTTCTATTTTTTCAGCCTCTTCTTTCCCATGGCTTTTGTTCTGTTTTCCTGGATACTATTCAAGGGAGGATTAAGCCCTTTTGCTTACATCCAAGCTCTCCCTGAAAATTCCCAAGCAACAAAGCACCTACAGTTTTATGAGGCATGGACCCGCCCACTCAGTTCCATTAAGTGCGGGCCAGAAAGCCAAGCCAGGATGTTACCTGTGTTCTGGGTGATCTGGCGCTTGGTTATCATCTGTTTGCATTTGGGATCCATCAATTCACTGTTTTTATTTTGTTTCAAGCACTGCAACATGGTTTTGGAATCTGCTTCTGGACAGAATCTCTGCAAAGAATCAAAGTTTTATAAAAACAGCTATTCAAACATGGCAATTAACACCATCTGCATCACCTGTATTACTCAAACATCTGTTGAGAAGCTTATGACAGAAGCAGCCTGCAGGTATCACTTGGTACAAGAGAAATGACTAAGCGTGAATAAGCATTCAGCCTCAAGCCCTATTCTGTACCTACTTTCTACTGTAGCTCTCACATTTCTTTCTCCTACCTCAGTGTCTCCTAGTTTACATAGGATTGATTCCCTACCCTCATGGCTGTTACATTACGTGGCACCTCATGAGCGTAAGTATTATTAAGCATGAATTTAATTGTACCAGGTGGCCAAATATCTACCCAATTCCAATGGGAAACTCAGGAATTACCCAGTAACCAATGTGAACAGGGATGTGTGGAAAGGACCCATCTGGTTTATCTCTTAACTACAGGGCCAGTCCCTATTCACTGGTGAGTGTCCTTGAAGTCAGAGCTCCATTTTGGACTAGTAGAAAATTCCATCTCTACCTGCTAATTCTAGTATGGGGATGACATCTGAATATGGGGATGTGAACTGCTGACTGATCTTTATAAAAGTAATATCAAGTTTCTGCAAACCCAACCCTGATATTTCCATTTTTACAGAGGACTCAATTCTACCAGGCCTACCAAAAGACTTCTAACTTTCACAATTCTCTTTGGAATTTATTTGCTAGGTTGAAAAGTAGCATTTTATCTTAAAGGGAAGCGGAAGTAAGTGGTCAGAACCTTAAGTTTAATCTCTGTATATATGGATAGATCCAGGAACTGATGTCTAGGTTCTCAAGTCAGCCCTGCTGTAGAGAATGTTCACTGCAGAAGTAAATGAACCAAAAAACTTGTCAAATGGAAAAGCCTTTCCATGGTGGTGGATTAATGTCAGGACATTTTGAAGGTGGCTTTCTCAGTATACCACCATGAATCGCCCCCAAAACCAATCATATATTCATTGGACCTCTAGTTACTCGTGGCTCAGGTCTAAGTGAGGTCTGTTATCTTAGCTCAGGGTTTTTTTTTTTAACTTGACGTACATCAGAATCGTCTGGAGAGCTTTAAACCAGACGCTCCACTCCCAGTTTCTGATTCAGCAGATCTGGGTGGGGCCCAAGAATCTGCAGATTCCCCGGGGATGCTGATGTTGCTGGTCTGGGACCAGACTTTGAGAACCACGTCTTAGCTGTATAAACAATGAAAACGGGAATATCATATGAATTTCCTCTGACATTTAAAGAGGTTTATGCTGTCATTTTTACTCACCCTGTGCTTAGTGCTTGGTTTTGGACCTCTTACCTTTATCATCTGCTTGCAGACCCTCATGAGTGTATAATCTAGTTCTGGGTCCATCATCTCTGTCTCCTGCAGCTTAAAAACTTTCTGGTGGCAACGGGTACTTAGCTGCTTCTTGTTTTCTTTCAGACATTCAATAATCTAGGGCGTAGAGTAATGGTCAAGTTAAGGGGTGCACCAGGATTGATAATCCACGTCTTCCGACTGAAGCATTCAGATCTTAGTACATCCCCCTTTCTATCCAAGTACCTTCCATGTCTAATTCCTAGGTAATAGGAATCAGGGTTTCCTTACCAAGGAGAATTATATTTATAGATGTATAACTTCAGAGCTCATAGTAAACCAACCATATAAAAATAACGAATAGCAGGCTGCACTGAGCTCTAAAGGGAAGGAAACCCACTCAGGATCCTTGGCTTCTTTTGCCTTCTCAAGCTGATCTTCGTTAAGATTCCTTCTGAAGCAAACAGGAGGCTCTCTGGCTTTCTCTAGAGCAATAACCCTGACTAGACTGCAGGCACAAGCCAGGAGGTTCAGTTCAACTCACCACTTACCACAAGAGAATAGAGCATTAGATGCCAGGTATAAATTAGACCCAATTCTTACCCCACACAGGGCAAACTTTATATAAACAAACAAGTACAGAAAAAAGACGAGTGGATTAACATAAAAGCATAAAGTATATGATGCTAAGTGAAATAAGTCAGTCAGAGAAAGAAAAATAAGATCTCACTTATATGTGGACTCTAACGAACAAAATAAACTGACAAATAAACTAGAGTCAGAGGCATAACTACATGGAACAGACTGACAGCTGTCAGAGGGGGAACTGGATGAAAGAAGGTGAAGAGATTAGCCAAAGAACACATATGAGTAACCCACAGACACAAACAACAGTGAGGTGATGGCCAGAGGGAAGAGCGGGTGCATGGAGTAGCACAGGATGGATTTACGGTAGTGAATTAAGTAAGTATATCCTGACTCCTTCCCTCTATCTTCTGTGAACGATGCAGAAGAGAAGCAGATGGAGTAGCCAGGACTGTAGTATAAAGTCACGAGACTTCTGTGAAATTCTCAAGGCACAACCAAGAATCATCAAATAACTGAGGGAAAAGGTAACAGCACAATCAAAACATATTGTTTAATAGCCTCAGAACAACACAGAAGGAAATGCTAAATGATAAGCAAGAACAGGTTATGAAAAGAACCAACTGCAGATCTTGGGAATGAAAACAGCAGAATGGCATGAATTCTGAGACTGAAAAAGCCAACCAGAATAAGGAAGTAAAAAAAAAAAGAATGCCTAATTATATCACAGTGAAAATACAGATTATTAAAGATAAAGAGAAAACTCAGAGGCAGATTAACTAATAGAAGTGAGAATCAGATTGCCCTAAGACTTTGCGTCAACAACACCAGGGACAAGAAGACAATGAAGCCACTATCTCAAAGGAAAGCTCCATGGCGATGCCCTGAACTAGAAGGGGCAGTTGAGTTACTGGGAGAACATGAAAAAAAAAAAAATCAGAGGGATTGAACAAAAAAGGAAAAAGAGAGAGAGAACTCAAGGACATGGACAACAGTGTGGTGATTGCAAGGGGCAGAGGGCGGAGGTGGAAGAGGGCATAAAGGAGATACATGGTGATGGAAAAAAATAAAGTAAATCCTTGGACTATTCTTAAAAAAAATTATTTGCTTGCACCACATTCCTGATGATTCTGGGTAGGTCCCTGTTTCCACGTATTTTTTAAAAAGTTTCTTAGGTGATACTTGTGTGGCCTTTAGTGAGGCACTGCAAGGGGAACATGGTGAGGGAATAACTAACTACAGAGGTGCAGAGTGCTGGGAAAGCGAGAGAGAGGAGGAGGCATATGCAGGATCATTAAGAGAGTATTAGGCAGACATGGAAACTGAAAGAGGAAAGAGAATAAACAGGAGACAAAGAGAAACTTTGGGAAAAGTCTGGCGTAACTTGTGAGAGGATGATTAGGTTGGATAGGATGTGATGAGGCCTATCCCACTAAAGAATTAATTTTTAAAATATCGCCTTCACACACACACACAAAATAAATAAAGTAAAATGTCACCTTCACATTACTTTTGCAGTTAAAAAACAACAAAAAGTTACCTGGGCGTTGCCATATTGCACCGTGGAACAGTAGTTCTTGATGTCACTCTTGCAGGCTTCATACAGATCTGGTTCCAAACGGATGTCCTCTGTCTGCAGGAGCGGGAACCAGCATGGAAAAGGGAGGTTACTCTGAGCTGGAGATGTCAAATGTTCTACATATTTTTGATTGGATCCTGTCTGGTAACCACAACTTCTACACAGCAAAGTGGCAGGAGAACGGGGATTTAGTTTCAGGTCTGCCACTAACTAGCTGCGTGGCCTTGGACTTTCTTTGCACAATAGAATTTTCCTTTTATAGCGCACACTGTGGTTGACTTCCACTTCACCTTGGTGATCAGTGCCTGGCACTCCCCCGGAGACGGCTGTTGTCCAGGGGTTGGGCACAGACCTCAAACTGACACTATCAAATTGAAGGGAAAGATCTTTTTTTCATGCTGGGGGAGGTTTCTCTTGTTTTTATTTTCCTGCTGGAGATAAATTTGGGGCAGGTGGCCCAGGGTTGCAGGCAGCCATCATGAGGGAAAGCAGCCTTTGGCAAAGCTGGGGCAAGAACAGCAGGTGAAAGGAGAGACCTTTGATCCCGCGGGCATTACTATGCAATGACAGTATTGCATGCTTACAGCTGTGTCTTGCTCTGGACTTTGTTTCACACAGTAAAAGTATTTTCTCATTCAAATACAAGGTAAAACAAGAAGCTGTCATATGGTAAAACTTTAGCCCGATAGTGGCTAAAACCTTTCAATTAGCCCTCACCCCTCACCCACTTCCTCTCCCCTGCCCCAGGGCTTCTGGGTCTGCGGATCTGGTTGAGGCATTACCATCTCCAGCTCCTCCACCCGCAGCTGCTTGCGGCACTTCAGGGACACCCTGTGTTCTTTGGCTTCCTGCAGAGTGTCGTTGCGCACGGTGGTGCTCAGGCAGATCACCACGTCCACCCTGCCAAGGGAAGGAGGAGGCCTGGGACTGGCTGGAGCCACCCAAGGGCAGGCGGCTGAGAGCTGGGCCGGGCCAGCACAACACCCCCTCCCAGAACTCATGACCCTTTTACCATGTTTTGAATGCCTTTCCTTTAAGTCTGTGTTCTCAGAACTCTAAAAGCAACAATTTGACTGTATATGTCATAAAAGTTGGGCCACAGCCCAAATGCTGACCATATTCCTGAGTGGCAGGGAGGCCACAGAGGCGAGGACAGTTCAACACTTGTTTTGTTAAAAAACATGTGATCAGAGAGGAAGGCTGCTCTTAACTTGAACCATGGCTTTGATGTACGTCCTGTGAAACTGATTCCTGAAAAGTATAGAAACCGGAGCAAAATGGGAAATTGGTTTATATGAGGGGAAATAGAAATAGAAATGTGCCTTTGCAAAGAGTGACAGGGAAGGATTCAGGTAGTCATGCTCCACAAACGCATCACTCTCCTCATTAAGATGTAATTCCTAAATGAATAAGGTTTTGTTTTTCACTATATCTCTAACTCAGTAAAGCCACTCCTTCCCTGAAGACACGACTGAGTGGAGTTATGTTGGGAGGAAGTCAGCTAACCTCGTCGTCACAGTGCTACTTGATCCCAAGTACACAACCTCCATCTGCTCCACCAGTGACATAGCCCCAACTGGGAAAATTAAAAATGCTTCCTTAGTCTACGAGGTTCCCACATCAGAACTACCACCACCAGTGGTGGCTCAGCAGCTATAAGGATGATGTCCAGACAAGGCAGTGTTTGGCCACACTTTCGGAGGGTGAGCAGGAGGCCTCCTGGGCTACCAGACAGCGGGAGGCTGCCTGACAGCTTGGATATTCATTCAGGAGCTAAGAAGCATTTCAGAGAAGCAGAATGAATCAATTAAAAACTACATTACTTCTTCTTTATGTTGGGGCAAAGTTTCAGCACATCCTCTTTGCAGGCCATTTTAAACTTGTAGGAGAACCGAAAATCCTTCATCTGCACCTAAAAACAACAATGAAAAAGAAAGTCAGAAGCTTGGAAGCAAGTCCTAACCAGCAGTGCTGGGTGACACTGTGTTCGTAGTTTGCAGAAGCCAGCCTTCCGGCCTCTGCATGACTTGTCCTTGTCTCCACAGGCTCTGTGAACTGCTAACCTCCCCATTCCTCCCTCTGCTGCACGCACAGCAGTCCCCTGCCATTCCAGTCACACACATGCTGTTCCCTCGGCCAAAAGGACCCTTCTCCCAGATCTCCCCCTGGTTTCCTGTCACTGCCTTGGCATTTCTATTCAACTACCTCCTTCTACAGTCCCTTGTCTCCTTCATCCTCCAACCCTTTCATGCATTATTTTTCTTCATAGGCTCACCTGATTCTATCTGTGTCTTCCTCTTACTAGAACATAGTCCACAGGACAGGGTTTGTGTGTTCCACCCCAGAGGCCCTGAACCCATTTGTCAAAGACTATATGCCCCAGAAGAGGGGAATTTTACACAGATGCTTGGATTGCATCCTCCTGGCAAGAAAATGCTTGCTTTACCAGAAACACTTCCGTTAGACATGTGGTAACAAAGAAGAGCATGACTTAACCTTCTTATTATGACAGATCTGGATAACATGATTAAGGGGGGGAAAAAAGGCTTAGAGTCCAGTGTATTGATACATATTTGGGCTGCTGCAATGAACAGTGACCCAAAACAGCAGGTCTCACTGAGACTGTTCAAGGAAAGGCTAAAATACATCATGAAAGCAAGGAATGTGACTGAGGCAGGAAATGCCTCCTTACTGTCTCTATCCCCAATGGATTACACACTCCCTAAGGGTACCAACTGTATATAGTCAAACCTCATTTCTGGAAATTCTCCTTCTCAGTTCTCTACCAAGTTGTTTATAGAAAAAATGTCTTTGTTGTCAAACTGACAACCCTTTATGCTGATACCTCCGCATGACAAAAAGCGTCTCTCAGGCAACAAACAAAGGAGAGAATGCTTTTGTTGCTGGGGAAAGCAATGATTAGCACAGTTTTAAAACATAAAGAGACCATCAAGAGTGCTAATATTGCTAATGGTGTGAAAGAAACAATGATCACAGACAACTGGAGAGGTAGAAAAACTGTTGTTGATTTTGATAAACAAAAAGCAGTTAGCCAGTGACAACCATTTCTGAGGCAGTAATATATGAACAAACAAAGATGCTGCATGCTGACTGGAAAGACACCACTGGAATGAATGCTAAAGTGATTCATTCAAAGCTAATAGGGGATGGTTCGATAAATTTAAGAAAATAAGTGTTTTTTTTAAAGATTAAACAGTACATTAGACATGTACTATATATAAGAAAGGTTAAAGCAGGGAATTATTGGAGGGTCTGGAATGGATTAATTCAATTTATATTTTTTCTACTGGGAGGAAATGATTTGGTTTTTGACAAATCATTTCTCGAACAGCCTTCAGGAATGCATTAAGTTCGAGAACTGAGGTTCCATTGTATTTATCACTGAATTTTCAGGAGCCTAACAAAGCATCTGGCCATAGCAGGAAAAAAACACATTTATTGAAAACAAGTCAAAATAGGGCATGTATTTGGAGAAAACAATTTTTCACAAGAGCAGTCAAGGCAAGAAGGCTCTGCCCAGTGTTACTGACCAGCTGGAAGTGGGTGACGCCAATGGCGCACTTCTCATTCATGTCCTTCTGGTGTTTGTTTTGTATCAGACACTCCATCAGGTCCCCGGAGTCTATCTGGTTATCTGCCACATCCTGAAAAGGCAGTGCACATTTACACTTCATTTGTAACAAATTAATAAACACATCTTATAGTCTAGTCCATAAAAAATGCAAACAAGGTATATATTAAATTATGTCAAAATAAGCCTGAGAAGTTACAAGGGACAAACATCTAGGGAATAAAATTCACACAGCAAGCGGCCCTGCACGAAGCTCCAACAAGAACATGCACTACGCTGTCAATGCTTTTACTCCTTTGCTTCCTGGTTGTCAGGTCCTCATGGTTCCTGGGTGTGTTTTGCTCCCACAATTAGATAATCTAATACTTGAATAAAGTAATAAAGTAACAGAATTTGCTCAATATCCAGGTACAAGAAGACAGTTGGAAGGGGAAGCCACTGTTACTGCTAACAAGTCCTGCACTGATGTACTGGAAGCAACTCAGCCATGCCCACGGGGCCTTCCCGGTCCCTCTCTAAAGGGCAACCCAACATCTGCTGCGAGGCACATATCTGGACACCTACAAAGGATGACCAAGTAAGGCTTCCCAGGATGGTGGCATCCCCTCTTGATTTTGTTTACATCTTCAACTTCTCAAAGTTGGCCACTCAGGAGTAACATATGCTGAAGACAGAGATGATACAATACACTTGGGGGCCAGAGTCCTAGTGAATTCAGTTCTGTTTCTAACCCTTGATTCTCCAGACATCACTTACGTGGCAAAAGTTCTGAATTATGGGCTCGCAGGCTCTCATCAGCAAGGCTTCTATTTGAATATCCTGTAGAAGATTAAATATATTAATTCTGCCTTAGGAAGAACCAGGGGTGGAAAAGGAGCAGTTTCTTTCTCTGAATTTAGTAGCATCTGATGGGCAAATAATCTGTTATGTGCATTTGGAGACTATTTTAGTCTTTAAGTTAGAGAGCCCCAGCATAGATAGAACTAACTGCACCTCCATTATACATTGAAAGGCAAGTTTGCTAGAAGCAGAATTAAGAAGAGAGGAGAAAAAAGGCATTTAATAATAATACTAGAGTAGATAAAGCTTTCAAGTTTTTCCAAAAAGCTAAGCAGTTCAAAATGAAAACAAGGGCAACTGACACCTATCTTTAGTTTATGAGCTCCTGAACCAGATCACTGTCCTCAAACCAAGTGATAAACCACTGCCTCTTGGAACACACACTCAATGCCCTTAAGCAGAGAGTAAGCACTGTACAGTACTAGCTGCTGAAATAACAGCTTCCTTTAAAGTTACACACCCCAGAATGTCCTCATAAGCCCACAAGAACAATGTGAATGGGAGAGGAGTTGTCAGAACATGAAAGAAAGCAATAAACCTTTGAAAAATAGAAAGAAAAAAGACTAGTTGAGAAATGTCTAATTTTATGTATTGACCATTTAAATAATTCTAAAAGGCTTGTTTTTTTTGGGTTTGTTTTTAAAAGCAGTTTTTGCCCAGCTGGGTGTGGCTCAGCGGTTTAGTGTCGACCCAGGAACCAAGGGGTCACTGGTTCGATTCCCGGTCGGGGCATATGCCCGGTTGTGAGCTCTATCTCCAGTGTGGGGCGTGCAGAAGGCAGCCAATCAAGGATTCTCTCTCATCATTGATGTTTCTATCTCGCTCTCCCTCTCCCTTCCTCTCTGAAAAAAATTTTAAAAATTAAAAAAAAAAAGCAGTTTTCTGTTTCCTGGGTCTCTGCCCCACAAAACAATTTAAACATTTTTAGCTGCCTCCCTCCCCAGTAATAAGCTATGAATTTTAAATAATATACCTAAGCTTATGAGGTTTAAATTTTATTTTGTCTATTTTAGTGGATTTCAGGATGGAACAGGGATAAACATATGTATTCAATCCTCCATGTTTAACTGTAAATCCCAGGCTTTAATTTTATTAAACACACAAACATTAGCAAATGACCTAATTGAAAGAGCTGAAGATAACAGGAATGTTATACTCTTCTTGAATATGATTAAGAGATTTCAAATATAGCTATCTTTTCTTAGAGGGGAAAGAAAAGATTGGTCTAATCACAGTGATAAATTGAATTTATGAAGTAAACCAAAGAGCTAAACAGATAGAGTTTTTCTGGAGAAATGAGGAAAGGGTGAAGTTCAGGAAGCATCACAATATTCTTCGCTATAAAGCAAACAGAAAGTGACAGGTTTCTTTTGTTTTCCAGAGAATCTGTATTCTCAAGACTCTAGAAACAGTAGGACCAAGAACAAAGGAAAGGCTGCTGACAGGGCACTTTCCTTCTAAGAGCTGCAAACTGCTTACCTCCGATTCTAACTCGGTGAGGTTGCCGACCAGGTCTCTGCACTCTACAGCCAAGTCATCCAGATGATCCTGGAGGCATTCAAGCTCCTGGAAACAAAAAGGCAATCCCTTGGGGTTTGTCAATTACATAAATGATCAAGGGAAGCTGAGATATCAGTGTCTACTTCCTTTTCAGTGGTCCTTCTTTTCTTTTTGTTTTAAAACTACTTCACTGAACAGAACACTAAAGTTTTACTTAGTTCCCAAATTGGGATGGTTGGAAAGATAACTACTTGATGTAACAGGGTGGTGAAGAGGGGTCAGCCATGTGAATCCTCCAGAAGGCCAGATCGAGACAACCAGCAAGAATCAATGTTCAGGTGTCCTCAGAGTCTAAAAATCTTATCAGGCCTTTATTCCATTCCATCAACACCCTGTCATTCCATTTATTTCTGTGTTTTGATTATGATCATTGGACAATAAATTCACAGTGAAAGACATGAACTATTTTAAGGCTCTTTATGGGCAAAGTACGTTGAGACCCAGCATCTTCAACACAACAAAGAGCTGGAAGTTCCTGCAAGTCTGGGATTCTAACTCTAGCCCACATAAGGGACCCCCTGAGGGAAAGTGCCAAACAAGTGAGCACACTAGGGCTTGGGTCTCTAAAAGCTGTCTTGTCTGGGCTTTGGAAACTGAGCTGGAACCACCTTGTAGCATCAATCTATTACCATTTCTCTTAGAAATTTAGAGGCTGTTAAGTATAACACCAGCTCATTTTTTCAAAGCACACCAACAGCTATTTCTCAGTTAAAGGACCAAGTTTAACTTACTATTTTGCAAGAATCTCGACTTTGAAATTAGAATGGGAAGGAAGGAGAAGGGCTGTAGGAATTATACAACCCTAAAGGAAAATGCATAATACTTTTGGGAGTAAAATAAATGGCTAAGGGAAAAATCCCATTCATGGAACCATGTCCTAAGTTTAGCTTCACAATGCAGCTTTCTCAATGTTACTTTACAGGCAGTAAGAAAGGAAACTGTTTCCTGGGATTCGGTATGACTATATCCCTTGTTTCATTAGACAGAGGCAGCAGAAAGCAAACAAAAAGCATTTTCTAACAATAAACTAGACAGAGCTATAGTAGGCCCAGAAAGCAAACTGCTAAAAATGACATTCCCAGGCTCAACAGATCTGTGTAAGCAGCCACTGCTTCCTAAAAACGTCTAATTCCTGCACCAGTTTAATCCCAGAGAGTGTTCTGGAGTGGTGCAAATGGACCTGGAGACCTGGGTTCACGCCTTGTTCAAGTACCAATGGGGCTTTAAACAAGGAGCTATTCCTCACTGCCTGGATTCCCTGCATTGAGATAAAAGACAAGCCACTTTCCCACGTAATTTGACAGAATGTAATAATGTACCTCTTTTCTTTAACTAGGCACAAAACCCTAAGGAACCATTTACAGCATGCATGTAATTCTTGGGGGCTGCTCCTTCTCTATACTTCCTTATGGAAGGCGGTTATAATATAATGAAACAAATGCCTGGCTAGGAATAGACCTGAGTCAATATACTTCACTTCTCTGAGCCTCAATTTCATCAATTACTCGATGGAGAAAGTCCATTCCTACATATCCTGTAGGACTGTTGTAGGGCACACACACTATTCATGCATACAAATATTTACATGTATTCCTCCCTCCAAAAGGCTTAATGTGGCTTGTAAAAATGAGGGGGGAAAAACCACAAAATAAAATGAATAAAAATGAGTCAAAAAAGAGGAAAGGATGCCGAACCGGTTTGGCTCAGTGGATAGAGCACCGGCCTGCGGACTGAAGGGTCCCAGGTTCGATTCCGGTCAAGGGCATGTACCTTGGTTGCGGGCACATCCCCAGTGGGGGGCGTGCAGGAGGCAGCTGATCAATCTCTCTCATCGATGTTTCTAGCTCTCTGTCCCTCTCCCTTCTTCTCTGTGGAAAATCAATAAAATATATTTTTTTTAAAAAAGAGGAAAGGAGAGGAAATTATGTTAAAGAAAGTAGGATGGAGCAAGTAGTAAGTTAGTACGTAAGACGCCTACCACAAAATCTTATATATTGCTAGAGGCAGGCCATACCTTTCTTTGACTCTAGGCTTTTTAAGAGGCAACACAAAGAGGGAAAACAATCAATTACAAAGTAATATAAAAACAAACTAAATGCTTAGGAAAAGTATAGTTATTCTTGATTACAGAGACCAAACAGAAAATTTTCCCAAGGATTTCTTATAGAGAGATCATTAAGTAATTTAACAAATTATGTCCATGAAGTAAAGAGAAATGGATTTTTCGGGGGTTTGTACTCTATATAACATGGTAATCATGAAGATGATGATGATGAAGATGATGATGATGATGATGTCACCTACCTGTCCGGTCTCTGTTTTCTCACTGCACCATTTGCCCAGGTCAATCAGGCACTTATCCTGGAGCGCAGGATCCAGCTTAACATCCATGGCACGCTGGTGTAGGATCCTCTGGACTTCAGCTCGGCACTCCCGTGAGAGCTACGTAAGAACAAGCAAAGCATTCTAAAGGTACCAAAACCAACACACCTGATAATGCCAGGAAACTGACAAATAACTTTATATCTTAAATCTTTTCCAGAATAATAATTAAATGTTCTAGGAGGTTTCTAAAAACCTACCCTTTTTGGAATGAGATTATACATTGGGCCTATTCTATATATTATATGAAACAACATCCTTTTTTCAGAATATCCTAATAAAAAGTGAACTGAATTTGTTTAGGTTACATTAGGAAGTTTCTGTTCAGCAAGATTAATTTGCTATGACTCCAAGAATGTAGAGAATGTTGGGTCCAATTCAGGAGGGAAAACACACAGGTTAGGAGAACTGAGTTCAAATTTACCTAAACTCAGACAAGCAGATAACAGCAGAACCAACAGTCACCACAGGTTAGAATCAGACTCTTCCAGATGAGTTAGAATTAGAAGAGGGTGAAACAGATGAAAACTAGTATTTTTGGAAAGGTTGTGAGAAAGCGGTTATTGACAGGTAAAGATATTCTCTCTTCCTAAAAGGGCCATGTGCCGGGGGTGGCGGGGGAGAGATGGAGAGTAACTGCTTAATGGGCATGGATTTCTTTTTGGGGACATGGAAATGTTTTGGAATTAGATATTGTGGTTGCACAACTTTGTCAATATACTAAATACTAAAGAGTTGTTCTCTTTAAAATGGTTCATTTTATGTTAGATGAATTTCACCTCAATTTTTAAAAGAAATATATATTTTAAAAAGACATCTTCCAACCCTTTGTTTGTAAGACAGGTACCTCCTTCTATAGTGACTACCAACATGCCAGCTCCTGTGATTAATGACAAGCTCATCATATGAAGAAAAAGGTAACAACAATTCCCATATTTTCTTACACAGCAGTATAAAAGCTGGGTTAAGACTGCAGTTAACTGAAGTACAACCTTTCTTTCTACCTGGGTCTCCTCATTCTGAATCCTGCACTTAGTCAGACTTCTGCATTAAGCCCAGAAGGGGTATTTGTTAACATGCATGTGAAATAATACCATCTCTACTTCCTGTAACAAATGCAGGACTGAAATGCAATCAGTACCTCAGATGGCTTTAAAAGGTCACCTGGGAGAGCAAGCAGCACGTCAAGTGGCACCAGAAGGCAGTAAACGTTGCCCGAGAGCCAAACCCACACAAATACCCCAACAAGAGGTGGCATCCAGGGCAGACAAATACCAGGAGCCTGGGCTATGGCGGTTTCTGCTCCACACAACCAGTGTGCTAGGAGAGAGGCCTATTAATATAGGCGATATGTGTTCTCATGCCAAGAGCAGGAGACGAAAAACAATTTGTATCTTGGCTAAGAGCTTCTAATGGATCTTTAAAGCTAAATAATGTTGGGGGCAGCAGAACTTAAGTGTGTATTTGTGATTTAGATTTTGGTAATCTAAAGAAAAAACTGGAAATATCCTGACTCACTTTGTTAAAAACATAAAATCAGGCAGAAAGAAGCTGGTAGGACACTCTGTGTGCACTCACTGAATGAAGAAGTTTTGGGTAGTGTAGCAACCCCTCCCCCCAGATACACGAATAACGAAGTTTTCCTAGGATGCCAGAAATCAGAACAATATATAGCAAACTAATTAAAAAACAAATGACAAGAAGAAGAAATGAAGTCAATAGTGACACATACCCTCCTGCCCTGCTCCTCCGTGCGGTAGGCATGTCTGTACAGGCAAGAGAACACAGCTCCAGGAGGCATAAACTCACTGGTTTCGTTCCAGCCGTGGGTGTGGCAGAGACGAGATGCATCTCCCTGGCACTTGCGGTATAAGACAGGGTCCAGTCTGTAGAGTTAAGAGTTAAAAGATAACCACTCTTACTATACCCTTCCTTCTAGCACATGCTAAGGCTCTTACAATGTGCTTGTATGCGCATTAATAATCACCTCCAGCCCTGGCCGGGTGGCTCAGTTGGTTGGAGCACTGTCCCATACACTGAAAGGTTGCAGGTCTGATCTTGGTCGGGGTGCATATGGGAGGCAACTGATCAATGTCTCTCTCTCTTCTTTCCTCTCTAAAATTAATAAAAACATATCTTCGGGCGAGGATTAAAAAAATAATAATTTTAATAATCATCTCCAGGGTAGCGGAAACATCAGGTAAGCAAAAGTATATTCTTGAATTTGTTCTTTGTGAACACACAGTGGTCAATATACAGAAGTTTGTTAACCTTAGTACAGAAGATTTAAGTTCTACCTCAAAGAGGTTATCTTGGCTATGAAAGGCACACATTTCAGTAACAGACTCAGCTCTAACATGCCCTGGCTAAAATGAGAAAATAAGGGTTGTAGCTGTCAGCAGGCAACCCACAACTTTTTACTCAATACTTTTTTCTAAGCGTACATGAAGTTCAATCCTACCTGATATACTAGATTTGGTAAGAGCAGGAAATGGTAAGATAAACAGAATCTCTCATTCAACTTCCTTTCTAGTAAAACTGTTCTTCTATTCCCTATGCAAGGTAAGGCCATTAAAATTTAGTTTACCTGAATATGCTTATCAATTAAAAAAAACTTGACATTTAACTTGGACTCTGGAGACAGTGCATTAGGCAATGAGCCTGCTGCTTCTCCGACTGAGATCAATGAATGCTTAATTCTGTCCACGTCATAAAGTCAATTTTGAGGGAGTGCTACTTAATGGAAGGAAAAAGGCTAATAATATTTAATGAGCAGCTTTTATGACTATGAAACATCTTTTGACCATGGCTGAAGGAATTACAAAAGAGGAAAAAACATGATTTTGTTAAGGTAGTAAACTCAGTAAACTCTGCTCTTTCAGTTTAGATGGCCTGAGTAAGCACAAGGAATTCCCACCCAGCTTTCTGTAGTATTTTCCAGAGCAAATTTCAGGAAACAGAAACAGAAACACACTGAATTTTCAAATAGTCTTTCTAGTAAAGCATGTGGGTAAAGCATCCATTAATCCCCAGAAAAAGTTAATGACCAAAGTACAGTGGCTTAAACAACTGGATCAGGAAGCAGCTGAACGTGGGAAGCAGAAGCAGCCTGATCCTACTGGCTGCTCTGGAGGTGGGAAGGGAGAATAAGACCTGGAGAGAGGAGGGAATTGCAGCCAATAAATTATAGTGGTTCTGATGGTAATAGATCCTTCTTCTATCTCATCTCTTCCCCCTATTTTTTGGCTAACAGGATCAGAAGAGAATCAAGTTGTTACTTATTGATAAGAGCCTCTTAAGATAGAAGAAATTCAATAACTTTGAATAGCTAAAGAAATAAAAGCAAATTCCCATACCAGGTACAAATCAATAAAAATAAAAATGTTACTATTGTCTACTTGGAAACATATCTGAAGACACTATTGCTGCCCCAAAGTGCCCAAGTTCTCTCTGGATAGATGATGTCTGTGGTATCAGAAACATCTGATCCTGACTTCCCAAGTGGCAGTGAAGCCCAGTCAGCATGGCTCAGTGGTTGAGTGTCGACCTATGAACCAGGAGGTCATGGTATGATTCCTGATCAGGGCACAGGCTCAATCCCATGTGGGGCCTGCAGGAGGCAGCCGATCAATGATTCTCTCTCATCATTGATGTTTCTATCTCTCTCTCCCTCTCCCTTCCTCTCTGAAATCAATAAAAATGTATTAAAAAAACAAAACACAAAGTAGCAGTGAATGGGGACACTTAGGGACAAACTGCAGGGGCTGCCTCTGTTTTTAGATACTGTTCTGAAAGTAAGAAAGAGGTTTTTCGGGGATTAAAGTTGTTGGCTATCACAGAAATTAACATAAACAAATTCCTATTGATTATTAAAAAAAAAAATACAAGGGATATTGACTACACAGGAGAACAGGCTGAGATTTTACACTTACACTGGTTTCAAAATACTCACTTCCAATCTCGGGAGATAAAATACTGTAGCTCTAACAGACGGTGTTCACAGTCTTCTACCATTTTCTCTGTATATAAATGTTCCATCAGGCACGAGAGGATCCTGGGCATAAAACAGGGTGAAATTGCAACATGAGACAGAAGAGTTCTGACAGTATGTGCAGAATTCTCACATTAGTATTCCCTTGGTCTAGGAAAAGCCATTCTGCCATTTCCTAGGGCAATCAGGCACTTACTCGCCCTGACAGAGATTAAGCCTTCTATCAGCTTGAGTCACTTAGCACTTAGGACTCAGCCTGCACAAGATCCATGTGCAGCTGCTTTATTTTTAACTGTTGATTATGAACATTTTCCAACACACACACCTTTCCTTCGCATAGCTTTATCTTCCTATGGCCCAGGTTGTTTTAACTGTCCTCCCTTGCTGATATTTTGAAGCAAATCATTCCATTGTAACTTTAGCATGTTTCTCTATAATGAGAATGTAATAGCATTACCTACCAAAATAAATTAATTTTTAAAAATTTCCAATTATTTCATTCCTTTCTACATGTTCATTCAAATCAGGACGCAGAAAAGGTCCACACATTGGATTTAATTGATAGTATCTTAAATCTATTTTAATCTGCAGTAGTTTACTTCTTCCTCCCTCTCCCTTGCCCCCTGTATAGTTAATGCAATTATTTTTATATTGGTAAATATGCTTAACTAGTCTTAAGTGTGTTTGTCTATCTTCTCCAACCACACAAAAACCTTTACAGAAGATTATCTTGTTTTAATCCCCTCCCACAGCACGCACAGCAGGAGTGCATGCACAGCAGGACAATGACAACAGGTCTGCATTCATTTTACTGTTGGGAACTGCCCGTTGTAGGGTATAAAGTTTTTTTAAGAATGGGAAACCTGTTCTCACTTGCAACCTGCTTTTAAGAGCTCTTTGCATATCATATGGAAGAAAACGAATGCATGTGATTTAAATATTTCATTATAGAATTTTACAGCTTTCCTAGGTCTTGTACACAACCTCAGAGTTCATTTTGCCCATGATTCCCCTACCCAACCGCCACATTTTGTTTTATATTTCAATGAAAATTAAATACTCTCTGATGGTGATCAAGTAGCCAATATACAAACAGGATGAAAAGTATAGAGTGACCTAACGTACAGGCCCACCTATGCTCAGTCACTGTCAACAATATCATCACAATGCTGGGTTTAGGGGCCTCCACATCACGGACGAGGCACAGCTGACGTCTTAATTCCCATACTAGTTTTAACAAAGGTTGGTATGTGTTGCTGTTTAACAAAATTCCAGTTATGATGTTGAGGGAACGTTCCCTGTGCTACACTGCCAAATAAAATACAATATGGATAAATACCACAAACCACATAACCTACATTGGGTCTCCTGATCGTATGTGTTTGCAGGCGGTCTGTATTACAGATTCACAAGCTTCATTCAAAGCTCTATCAATGCGGTAATCTGCACCAGGGTCAGTCTCCTGAATCAGTGTTTGAAGCTGGATTAAAAAAAAAAAAGAAGAAGAAGAAGAAGAAGGAAGAAAGTAAGTCACTTACACATCAGGGAAGAGCAATGTTACCGCTTCATACAATCAGTTACTAAGCCTGGCATATCACAAGGTCCTACAAGTGTCACTGGCCAAGTAAAAGAGCTCTTGCCCAATCCTTTCCAACTGGTTTCTCTACCTCGTTGATCGAGTTTTCCTGTTTAAGCAATTGTAAGGATTACTTGCCTACCAGTCTGAATCATCAATGGACATTTGCAAAACCAAAGGTCTTTACAATATAAAGGCTACCCTTTCCCTTATATCTGCCTATGTAGTAATCAGATGACTAAATCTGACACTTAGAGGCCAAGCAAGAATTGAGTGAAGAGTAAATAATTTCCAGTTAGAAACCTACTTTGGCCCCAAGAATCTAAAATTTAAATTTTGCTGCAAAGACACTGGCATTACAACAAGCATACTCTGCTTTATTAAAGATAGATGTGAGATTTCACTTAGCTTGCAAGAAATATTCATTACCAAAAAAAAGAATATAATACTTATGATCTCTTGTTTTTCCTCAACTCTCATTTATATAACAAAGGGGTAATCCAGAGCTAATAAGTATACAGAAAAATATTTGTCATTATGCAACTGAAAATGAGAGTACAGTCTTTAACATTTACTTTTGCTTGGTCCATGCTTTATCATGAAATAAATCAAAAGTATGAGATGTGCCCTGGATTTTTCCCCTCTCTTTGAGGAAAAAGCAGTTGGGGTGCAGAAGAAACAGTTCTAAATTAAGGAACAGAGACCTGAGTTCTATTAATAGCTCTGGCTCTGCCAGATATTAGTGTTGAGAACGTGGGCACGTTGATTAACCTTTAAGTTTCAGTTTATTTAACTGCAGAGGATTATAAGAATATATAGAAGGTTATATAAACTGCAAGCATTTGACAGGTATAAAAGATCATTATTACTACAGATGGGTAGCAGATGGTGTTTTGGGGTGGGAATCTTGAATAACAGAGAGCACATCTGAAAACTATAATCCTGGTTTGGGTTCCTTTTTTCCAAGTTAAAGACCTGGAGCCCTTTTTGTGTCACAGATTTAGCCTTTCTCTGTAGGAGCTTTCTCTGATCCCCATACATTTGACCTATAATACCATAGGGGCTCTAGGAAAGTACTAACCCCATCACATATTGATCAGAACACAGAACAAAAGGAAATGAACAAAGAAAACCCCATCCTATCTATTCTAAAATAAGTCAATACTCAAGATGAGCGATATATGAAAGATTTCCAGTATTCTGGGATGAAAGTTATTTATACCAATTCTTGGTGGCAATTTAGAAAAGCTACAAAATGCTGTGGGTAGTTGGTAGGAAGATTACTGTCAAAGGATTATTGATTTTAGTAATGACATTTATTGACAAAGAACAAATATTTTTATCTTTTTCTGAGGGAAATTATAAGCATCATGGGAGTCTGAAAGTCTCTGCAAGAACTGTATTAAATATCTATGATTCATGACTGACAGACAAACCTGGAGAATTCACAATGAATGCACCAGATTGCAGCTACTAAAAGGAGGCAATGAATGCCCTACAGATTCTAGTAGGCTAAGGACTCAAGAGATCACTGCACTCTGGAATCCAGTGACAACAGTGTGGGAAATTAACGCTAAGAATGTAAATTTCTACATAATTATACATCTACTCCAGCACCTGATTGCTAAGGAAAAACCTGGGGAAGTGCTTCTGGGAAATGATTAGTCTAGAGAACAGACTGGACAGTCACCTTTGGCCTGGGAGAGACTGGGCCCAGACTCACTCAGCCATAACCACAGAGAGTTTAGTAAGCTCATGATTATGGTGCATTTGGCAAAGTATGTACTCATTAAGGTAACACTTGCTTTTATGCTTCACAGTTTACTATTTGTTAAGAGATCACTAAATCAAAGCACAGAATAGGGAAAATCAATGGTTAACCACAGACAGGTATAAAAGTCTACTGTATCAGGGAACAAAACTTCGAAAAAGAAAGAAACCCATCCAAAATATATTATTTCAAAGCATTCCTCCCTATGACTGAGGATGGATAATGTGGTGGAAAACGAAGAAAAAATTATTCCTTTTCCTTCAATTCCTAAAAACCACGAGTCCATAAAAACCCAAATAAAGTGTTTGTTTCCCACTTGGCTAAACGTAATGTGGGCAAAGCCACTACCTCACTAGTGAAGGCTTGAGCGCTGGGCTGGGAAAGCACGTTTATTCTGGGCACAGGACGAGGCAGGCGTGCTTACTTATCCTCCAGGTGCTGAGTCACTCACTAGCTCTTTCATCAAGCTAAATTTCAGAAATCCCTGGAGGTTAGTTAGGTGCTTTGAAATAAAGTCTAACCAATCTATTTTCTTTTTTCTGTACACCTTAGTACAAGTAAAGAATATATAGGTTTATTCCTAACCACCCCCTCCCCTTCCCATGCAGCATTAAGGATAAAATGCAAATATAGGGTATCTTGATCAATTCTTGGTCTGGGGCCCAGGCACATACACTGTCACAGAGATTTCTTTCCTCGGACAATCACCAGCAAGGACTGCTTCTGAGGAATTATATCCAGAAGCTAGCTTTCTGTCTCGCTAGGCTTGGTATTTGGGGGAAGAGACTACATTTGTCTACTTTTCCCACCATGGGAGGTACAATTACAGTCTACTCTGGGTCATGGTAATAGGAGCTAAGGTGAAATTTTATTCCAAATCAAAATTCTATGGAAATTTGGCGTTTTGGACTAAAAATTGTGATTTTAATGATTAGCAGAAAAATACAAGTAATATTCAATTTTTAATAAAAATGCAAACAGAAAAATAAGACTATTGAATTATGGTTTTTTAAAGTTTCTCTGAGGACAAAGCCTCAACTTTTGAATTTAATGAAACAGAAACAGAGGCACTGTATTTATAATATTTTAAAACTTTATTATTATTTTTAAAATTTTTATTCATTTTAGAAAGAGAGAGAAACATCAATTTGTTGTCCCACTTATTTATGCATTCATTGGTTGATTCTTATATGTGCCCTAACCAGGAATCGGATCCACATCCTGGGCATATCGGGAAGACGCTCTAACTAACTGAACTACTTACTGGCTAGGGCTTAACTTTGCATTATGTACTGGAATTCTAGTTATTAACTGCTTATGAATCCTGCACAAGAATAACTTTATCTCCTCAAGCCAAGTATGCTAGTTTTTTCTAACTATCTTTACAGAACTGATTGTAGAGTTTGGAGGTAAAAAGAAAGGCCCTTCCACATACAGTTACCCTAGTGCGGTGGTTGGCAAACTCATTAGTCAACAGAGCCAAATATTAATAGTACAACGACTGAAATTTCTTTTGAGAGCCAAATTTTTTAAACTTAAACTATATAGGTAGGTACATTGTTATTAACTTAATTAGGGTACTCCTAAGGCTTAGGAAGAGCCACACTCAAGCGGCCAAAGAGCCGCATGTGGCTCGCGAGCCACAGTTTGCCGACCACGGCCCTAGTCTAACAAGAAAAGGTAGTATAATGTGAAAACAACATGCTTTTTTGATCCTTCAGGCCTGGAATTCATGACCTGTCATACATCAGCAATAAAAAGAAACAGAAAATTCCAATTCATTTCAGATCTCTTTCAGCCTCAACTAAATTAAACGCACTGAGACAGGAAAATTCTCTTTTGGTGGAGGACCTTTGCTGAGGTACTAGAAGTTGGTTTGCCTTGATTATGAGTTTAGTCAATCCAATCTAGCAAGTTACCTTAAAAAAATTCTAGCAAACAATGCATTTTATCTATTTCTTTAAGTATACAGCTCTTTTTATTGATTACTAGAGGCCCGATGCACGAAATTCGTGCAAGAGTAGCCCTTCCTTCCCCTGGCTGCCGGTACTGGCTTCCCTCCAGGACCTGGGATCCAAGCCTCCCTTTGGCCACCAGCAGGCACCTGGGACCCGGGCTTCCCTCATAGCCCTGGCTTCATCCGGAAAGATGTCTGGTCTATATTATGCTTTTATTATTATAGATGAGCTCAAACTTCTGCTCTGCAGCAAAATCCACATTCTTACAATGAAATGCCTGAAGAAACAATATTCCATGTCTGATACTCACTGTGATATCATAAATGATCCAGATACAGTTGGGACAGTGTCAGGAAGAGGCTCTTCAGCTGATAAAATGTGACATTCAAAATGGCAGTAGAAAAATTTTCCTTACCGCCTGCTGGCAGTTAATTCCAAGGTTCCCTTTCTCCCCTCGAACTACTTTCATCAGACAATGCAGGGTTCGGCCTTTTCGATGTAATCCAGAACAGTGGTGTTCAATCTCCCCCCGACAGCTCAGGATGATCTCAGGGCTCAAAGAAAAGTCTTCCATCAACATGCGTCGGTAATCCAACATCTCCCCCTGGCACTCACTGCTCACTTGTCGCCCTAAGTTAGGATTTAAGCCATAACATTATGGTGAGCATTAGGATCAAGTATCACCACATATGAAAAGTACACATTTCCCCCCAGAATAAACCAGTCACATTATTATCCAGACTGAAAAGCTTAGAATTTAGCAAAAACTTTATCAGCATAAAATGAGTTTAAGACTCCAGAGACTAGGGTTTATCCTGTCAGTGTCCTGCATTATACAGATTTTATACTACTAAACTAATCATGCAAATGTTTTACCAATGAAAGTCTTATCAACAAGATAACTATGTGCGTAAAAACGAAAGCCTAGAACAATCTCTATTGGCCCACAGTAAAAGCTTGTGGAAAGACTACCATTTAAATATTCACTATAGCTTCCCACCTTCCTTCAGCTATAAATGCCAACTGGGAAAACTTAAGTAATGTTTTAAAACACAGCTTTATTGACGTACAGTTGACATGTAAGAAACTATACTTTCAAAGTATACAACTGGGTAAGTTTCATATACATATACATTGGTGAAACCATCACCACAATCAAGATACTGATCACACTTATCAACTCCAAAAGTTTCCCTATGCTCTCTTGTAATCCCTCCCTTCCTTTCCTATCCACGCCCCCAACCTCAACCCCAGTCAACCATTGACTTGCTTTCTGTGACTACAGATTAGTTTAATAGTTTGTAATTTTTAGAAGTCTATATAAATAGAATCATATCATATGGACTCTTTTTTGTTTGACTTCTACTCAGCATAACTATTTTAAGATTTATCCATGTATTGACAATTCATTCCTTTTTATTGCTAAGTAATACTATTCCGTGATATAGATATGCTACAATTTGTTTATCCCTTTCAACTACGGATGAACATTTGGGTTATTTCCAGTTTGGGGCTATTACTGGTACATATAGAGCTATTATTAGTATTCACATGTAAGAGTTTACATGGACATTCGCTTTCATATGTCCGGGTCATATGGGAGATGTATGTTTAACTTCTTAAGAAACTGGCAAACTATTTTCCCAAGTGGTTGTACCACTTGAAATTCTCATCAGCAATGTACAATAGTTCCAGTTTTTCCATATTCTTGTCAACACTTAATATGATCAGTCTTTTTTTAGCAATCTGTATAACTTCTCTGAATTATCTGTTCATATCCTCTGGCCATTTATTTACTGAGTCTTTTTTGTGTTTCTTATCAATTTGCAGTTTAAGGACATTAACTCTCTATTTTTCAAATACCAAAATTAGATTACATTATGCATACTGTTTTATAATATGCCTTTACTAGTCAATAATCTCTACTTTTCATTTTAGGATTCACCTAATATGCAGACCATAATCAATATTCCCCAGCTGTCTCCAAAATGCCCTTTGTTTGGTATTCAGTCCAAGACCATGCATTGCCTCTAGTTGCTATTTCATTGCTTTCAAACATCCAGATATGAAAAAAAATTTACCAAAAAGTTCTGAGTTTTCTTTAATGACTGATTTTTCCCCCACTTAACTTTTTAATCACTAACCAACTCTCCCAGCACCATTTATTCAATGAGAGGAAGAAATTTAATTTTTGTAGTCTATAGCGAGTATTAAAGACAACCCTGGCTTTTCATACATCCTTCTTGGATCCTCTGTCAGGGGTTGACATTTGGACTAAACAGACCATGAGTCTGACTCTACGGGGGATAATCCTTTCATCTTTTACTGTTTAATTTCTTAACATCATCATTGTTATAATAATAATAACATTACCTATCACTTATTATATACTAAGTGCTATGCCAAATAGCCTCATTCAATCCTCATATGAACTCAACATAGGAACATAGGTAATATTATTTTTTATAGATAAGAAAAATGAGGTTTAGAGAAATTAAAAAATGGAAACAATGGACACCTAGCCAGTTAGTTTGGTGATAGAGCCATAACTTGGAAGTCATCTCTCTCTGACCCAAGCTCATCTGCTAAACCAGTGGTTCTCAACCTTCCTAATGCCTCGACCCTTTAATACAGTTCCTCTTGTGATGACCCCCCAATTTCATTGTTACAAATTGAACATAATTAAAGCATAGTGATTAATCACAAAAATAATATGTAATTACATATGTGTTTTCCGATGGTCTTAGGCGACCCCTGTGAAAGGGTCGTTCGACCCCCAAAAGGGTCGAAACCCACAGGTTGAGAACCGCTGTAAACCATTATACTACTCTGTCCTAAAAATGTGGTACAGTACAGGGTGTGGCAAAAGTAGGTTTACAGTTGTGAGTATGCAAAACAGAGTTCATTCTTGTATTGTTATTTATTTATTTATATTACTTTTAAATTCTCACCTGAGTGTATGTTAATTGATTTTAGAGAGGAAGTAAGGGAGAGAGAAAGAGACAGAGAAATATCAATGTGAGAGAGAAACTTCTATTGGTTGCCTCCCGTGTGCACCCCAACGGGGATTGAACCAGCAAGCTGGGTGTGTGCTCTGACTGGGAATCTACCTGGCAAGCTTTTGGGGTATGGTGCTCCAACCAACTGCGCCACACTGGCCAGGGCTTATTTGTTAATTATTATATTATTTTTCCATACAAACAACTGTGAACCTATTTTTTGCCACACCCTGTAGGTATTTTAAAATACTAAAATATTTGAATTTGAGAAATATTCTTTACTTTGTAAAAAAAAAGAAGAAGAAGCAAGCAGAGATATAAAGAAAAACAAAACTGGAGATTAATGAGCTAAGAGGAAGGGCCTTCAACAAGGTGTAGGGATGCCAACCCTTCAATACCTAAAAAAAGACTCTTAAATAACAAGGCACAGGTGTACTCAAAAGAGCAAATATAGGCGAACAGTAACAGTACATGAAGCTTTAAAATGTAAATCCAAAAAGGAATTAAAAGGATAAAAAGAAATAAACTCTCACCTCTATGCACAGCTGACTCTAGACACATCAGAAGGTAGGAGAGCCTGGCTTCCCGGGACCGGGGAAGGTTCTCCACATTGCACCGGTATTTTTTTAAGTCACTCTTACAGGATTTGGCCAATGAATAACTGACCTTATAATCTTGGGCAATCAGCTTCTGGCGGGTTGTTAGTGCTTCTCGACACTGAGTAAAGAAGGCAGCGAGAGAGTTGTAAGACTGCTCAAGTGGTTCAGCTGTTCCCATGTACCTCTCATGGCCAAGTACATGTCAACAACAACAGCCGTTGTTACCAAGATGCCTCTTTTAAGCTTGGTTAAAATTTAACACAAGCATGCTAAACTAGCGTGACAAGAGGCAGAGGTAAATGGGTGGGGACCCCTAGATTTCTACAGTGAACTGCTGATGGTTGCTGCAATAGCTGTCCTAAACACATACATATTTGGTAGATTCTAATACAAGATCTTGACAAAGTATTCTTTTTCTACTTAACAATATTCCTAAAGTAAATTTCACCAGAATCAAAGTAGAAACTAACATAATACTTCAGAAGTTCCATTCTATACTTTTTAAATATAATTACTCAATAGTAAAGGAACTGAAAATGAAAAACATTTTTTCAGCTGCACAGAAAATGACAGAATTAAAAAAAACACACACAAAAATAATTACTTTTAAAGGTAATAAATTTTTTTTTGCATTCATCCAGGAACAGAATACTAAGAGTAATGAAAATGCTTAATGAAACATCTGCTGAAAAATTAAATAGCTAATTACCTATGAAGCACATTGGTTTGGTTAGCCTAAACTTCCTGAGTATGTAAGACTGACTTCAGTGTAATTCTGATATAAAATTCTCCATTTTGCCCTGGCTGGTGAGACTCAGTTGGTTGGGCATTGGCCCATGCACCAGAGAGTTGCTGGTTCAATTCCCGGTCAGGGCACATGCTTGGGTTTTGGGCTCAGTCCCCAGTAGGGACGGTACAGGAAGCAGCCAATTGAAGTTTTGTTCTCACATCAATGTTTCTCTCTCTCCCTCTCCCTTCCTCACTCTCTAAAAAAAATCACTAAAATTTAAAAAATCACTTAAAAATTTTTTTTTCAATTTTACTCCCCAAACTGATTCCAAATTGGCTTTCAAATGTCCAGATATCACAAATAACGCTTCATTTTCTTGGCTTAAGCAAAATATGCTTTGGTTCCCTACTAAAAGCCAGTGTCTCGCCTCTGAAAAGGGTTAGCTTTACCAGTCATTTATTTTGATATCAGTTTATAAGAATATTATTTGAGATGATTTGAGAAAGCTTTTAAGAATGAATAAGTCCTAGCTAGTTTGGCTCAATGGACAGAGCGTCTGCCTGCAGACTGAAGGGTCCTGGGTTTGATTCTGGTCAAGGGCACATGCCCAAATGACGAGCTCGATCCCCAGTAGGGGCGTGCAGGAAGCAGCCAATCAATGATTCTCCCTCATCATTGAGGTCTCTCTCTCTCTCTCTCTCTTTCTCTCTCTCTCTCTCTCTCTCTCTCCCTGCCCCCTCACCCTTCCTCTCTGAAATCAATAAAAAATATCCTATATAATAAAAGCATAATATGCAAATTGATCAAACGGCTGAACAGTGGAACGACCATCCGGGACCATGCTATGGTGCCAGGCCAGCCAAGGTGGGTGCAATGCAATTGATCAGGGGCCTGGCCATTGCCCCATGATCGCCCCACAGAGGGAGGCCCTTTGAGGGAAGCCCAGGTCCTGGGTGCTGGAGGGAAGCCGGTGCCAGCAGCCTTGGGAAGGAAGGCCTACTCTTGCACTAATTTTGTGCATCAGGCCTCTAGTGTGTGTGTGTGTGTGTGTGTGTGTATAAAAGAAATGAATAAAATATTGGTCTGTTTTAAAGTAATACTTACCTTTTCACTCATGGATTCTTCAAATTTATGGTTGAAGAGGCACTTATATACTCTGCCTTCACCAGCTTGTGTCTACAAGGTGAAACATACCCATTGTTATGATTATTAGGTAAGTAGTTATGCTAGACAGTATCCATAATCCTATATAGAACTTTCTGTTAAATTAATATAATGTGAGTACATTTGAACAAATGGCTCAGCCATTTATAAAATTTAGTAGCCTTTAAAAGAAAATAGTGCCTGCAGAAAAGATAAAAATATGTTTCCTAGATGTCTTGACTATTGTCATTTAGTCCCAGATATACTGTTAATTAGGGAATCAAGAGAAGTGGCAATGAGCCTTCCTTTTTACAACGTAAAACTTATAATTAATGGCTTTGATGGTGAAAGCTGTTATATCAAAATAGCAGGCAGAGTGGGAATGTACACAAGTCATGCTCAGTTCTTCGATGTAAAGATGGAGATTCTTCTATTTACAGTGTTAGAGAGTTGTTCTGTAGGGTCTGTGGGTAGCAATAAGGGATTTGGTTTAACCTGTGTGGTGCTGTGTTGTTTTTTTTAAAATCTTGGCCAGAAACATAAACATGTAACACGGCAAAGTTTTAGTCATGGAATAGATGTGAATGGAATTCCCTGGTAAACTAGGATTCCTATAGATAAAATAAACTCCCAAGAACTGATGAGAAGTTAGATAAAGTAGAAAAAATAAGGTGGAGATTGTCAGAAGCCAAATGTTAACTGGATGTTAAATCAAAGCTGAGCATCCAGCATCATTTTCTGTTACCCTGAGACCAACTCCACCTTCCAGTTTTAGTAGCTTTTCTACATGTGATGTTTGTGTTAAGTTTTTGTTTGTTTGTTTCCTGGAATAGAGTATTTAAAAATATTTAAAAAGAAAAGGAAGAAAAGAACAGTTTCTGAACTGACTTACATTTTCACAAAAACGCTCCCGATCATCTCGGCAAGCAAAGTATAAATGCCGATCTAAATGAAAGTCATCTGAGGACAGCTCAGCCACGCGGAGAATGGCTTTCTTGCAAACTTCAGAGACTTGAATCTTGGGATCTCCTTCTTCTGCTTCTTTCACCAGGCCTTTCTCCAAACATGATACCACCTCACCTTGTGAATGTGCATCCTAAAATAGTGAGGATACTAATTTTAAAACTCTCACCACAATGACTTTCTACTAAACATCATTTGGTTAAAAACAACAACACACTTCAACATATAGTTAGCTTATTGATGTTCTATTGAGAAATGAGGTGGGAACCAACCACATATTATAGAAAATGTCCTCAATAATCTTTGGTTAGAATATAATACTTGCATGGTACAAATGGAAACAGAGATCCTGGGAAATTAAGTATAATTTAGTTAGCACTGGAAATAGAAACCTGAGTTTTTAAAGTTTAAAATGTCAGAAACATTTAAAAGAATCACATTAGCCCAATGCTCAATCATAGCTGATGTCCATACTGAAATAACATTGCAGAAATCTCTGTTCATTTATCTCGGAAGGGTATTTCCCAAGTAATAGTGCTTTTAGTCAAGTTACGAAAACAAGTCACAGAATCCATTGAGAAAATATATTATAGAGATCCTGTTTCTCCTTTTTTCTATTCTACACTGCCCACAAAGATGCAAATATATACAATCTGTAGTATAATATTCACTTTGATGTTTTGAATTAATCTTATTGCAATCTTAACAAGATTACCACCCTTTATTCAAACTGCTTTTGAGAGCTTTCCTAAAGCCATCCAATTACCTTTACTTGTACATTGCATCCACAAGCATTCATTCATTCAAAATATGAGAAATTTCCCCTAAATATTTTCTATTCAAGCATCCTAATCTTCTATACTCAAAAGATATGCTTCAATAACTTGAGAGGTATAACCATTAATACAGTAAGTGAAAGCAGAAGAAAATATAGTGCTATCACTTATTTACACATTCACACACATAAAATCTTGTTATAGTAAGATATCAGGTCTATGAAATCATCTGTACATAATAAAAAGACCCCTTAAACCAGATAGGGGAATATCTACTTTAAGTAAAATTTCAATTCAACAAAAAGAGTATAGTATTTTTTCTATTTGTTTGACAGAGTTTGTTCCATAACACACTACTTTCCAAGTAGCTGCATGAAATGTTCATGTTCTCTCCTAACACACCTGTGAAGAGGGGATAAGAGTGGTGTATCTATTGGGCAGATGAGCAAACAGAGGCTTAGAGGGTTTATCAACTCATGCGAGTTGCAGAATGTAAGGTGCCTAGTTAAGACCTTGGGGTTCTATGGAACTTCCTTTATGATTCTATGTAATGTTTACAAACCTGAGATGATCAAAAATATTTTTGAAGATTAATTCTGAACAGATAAAACTCTCAGGGACAAGAGACAAAAAGATAACAACAGGGAGAAAAATGAACACAAACCCCAGAAATCTGGAGTAAGGCTTATTTTTAATTCCTACTTTATGAGTGACAGTCAAGTCTGTCTATGACCCACTTAGGCAAGGCCTAACCATTTCCTCCTCCCAAAGGAAAAACAAACCAATGATCACACAGAGTTGGACAGAAACATATCAGGCACTTATTATATACAGTACATAAGTATTATATACAGCATCATCCCGAGACCGACAGTTTGCATGTTCGATTCCCTATTGAGGTCCGTACGAGAGGAAACCGATCGATGTTTCTTTCTTTTTCTTTTCCGTTCTCTCTCTCTCTTCCCCTCCCTCTCCCTTCCTCTCTCCCCACCTCTCTCTCACTCTCTCTAAAATCAATAGAAACATTTCCTTGGGTGAGGATTAAAAAGAAAAAGTAGGCAAGAACTCAGCTTTCATCTCTGCTATGAATTCTCTATTTCAATGTTTCTGGTGTCTTTTGTGATCTACATCATTTCTCAAAGAAGAAAAGAATGTCTGAATTATTCAAAGTAATTGGTTAAAAGCAGGGAATGCTCAACTACTGAGTAAAAAGTATAATAGTAATAATATGGCACATGTCTATATTAAGTTCCTGTATGGGATGCCACATTCCACTTTCTCTGCAGACAATGGAAATCATTTACATTTTACTTTTAGAGATCTGCACTTTCATTTTTACAATATTTATTTAGAAAATTCTAAAGATCTTAATATATAGTCTTTGTTCTAAATTTTATATATATTAACATTTGAAAACATTATCATAATTTTGAAATCATGACATTTATATGTTCATACAAAGAAGGGTACAAACAGGTTAACCATGACCCTTTTTCTGACTTTTAGAGCAGGTCAGTTCAAAGCCAGTCACAGAGGAGTTTGCAAGCTTCGATGGCAACAAATTTGAAATTGATGAGCCTGTTCTCTTCTGTGGTCAGAAACTGACGCATTAATTTTCCAGGATAATTTTCAGATCTAAATAACCAGCTACATAGAAGTAAACTATAGTTAGAAAGGCAGAAAAGGGCTGAGGACATGCCTCCTTTTTTAAATTTGGCAGTAGCACCAGAGTGGATTATATAGGAAAGAACATGTTTTCAGAAGTGCAGGCATGAGTCATCTTACTGTCCCCAAAATACAAGCAAGTCTTTGATGCCAGAGTTGGGGTGTCTGGTATAAACAGAAATTCACCTAACTGGTCACTATAGCAAAAGATAAAAATGACCAAAATATGCATGCTGATGGTTCATAGAAACATCTTTTGTTATTTTAACAAAGCTAAAAACAGCCCTCACTATCATGTCTTTGGGCTCTAGCATTTTCTGCAGTCATTTCAGTCACTGCAGACTTAATTCGTACATGCCATTGAAAGGAGGTTTTATATTGACAATTCCAATTGCTAGTGGGAAGCTAACTAGTGATTCTCTTGGAGTCAACAGGGAAGAACTACTACAAAGAGAGGTGAATTGTAATGGTCCACTCTACCGCATGGCCAACTAATCACAAATATAAAGAAGTGTCATCACTGATTCCTGAACAGTGTGTTTGGAACACGTAGGTGAAGATAGTAAAGAGTGAGGGTTGGAATTGGATATAATCTCCAATACCCGATGCAATACCCTGCATTATCAGGGTGACTTAGTGCTTTTGTGCCACTTCTAGAATCTGCTGGGAAAGGGAAAGAAATCTGCCTTCTTTATTAAACCGGCCTTTTTTTAGCTGCCTGCCAAGTTCACAGTGCTCTCAGGATAGACTCAGAGGTGCCCTGTGAAAGGGCCAGAGCCCTGTGCTGGCATGAAAGAAAGGTTACTCGGTGACAGCCAGACAAGAACCAGCACTAAAACCTTCTGGCATACAATACTATGCCCCTTCCCTCCGTGAGAGAAGCCTGCAAGGCCTGGTGCACTAAACAAATAGGGGCAAAGAGACAAATGGACTTTATTTTTCTTCACATTTCCTAAACAGCCGATTAATGAATAGTGGCAATTAATAGCTGATGACATACCCGCCCCAGACTACCTCTCCCACTGGCATTCTGTTACTTTTCAGGAGTTTCTTTCATTTTTTCTGAGCAAACAAATTCAGAATAAACCTGGTCAAACCTCCATTTTGACCTTCTAGACAAGAGACCAATAAGGACAAAAATAAGTTCAGCTATAATTAAGGAAGAAAAAACCAGCTAGGTAGTTTTCTTTCCTGTCTTTACTAAAACTAGTTCTTCTGAGAAGGTAATATATCACATTTGTAGAGTACCTTTCTTATGACAAGCTAGAAGTACTTTCATATATCTTAAAATCTTCTAATATTTAAAAATACATAAATAAATAGATAGATAAGTAAATATTGTCTTTTGTACTGGTGTGCTGAGTGACTTTTTAAAAAATGTTTTCATTGATTTTCAGAGAGAGAGGAAGGGAGAGGGACAGAGAGATAGAAACGTCGATGAGACAGAAACATCGGTTGGCTGCCCCTGCACACCCTCACTGGGGATTGAGCCAGGAATCGAGGCATGTGACCTAACCAGGAAGCAAACCAGTGACCTCTTGGTTCATGGATTGATGCTCAATCACGGAGCTACACTGGCTGGGCCTGAGTGATTTTTTTATGGCAACAGTGAGGTATATGCAGAGAAAGTTTTGAGAATTCAAGTCTCTCCTAACCCAACTACTATTCCCACAAAATGCTTTGCCAGAGAATGTTACAGGGAACCAGCAAGTGTTTTAGTATTTTGAAGGTAACACTACTCTTAGCAGATATTAATTCCCCTACTTTCCATACTTTTGGAACATTTTGTCACAAACAGATAAAATGCACTCACAGGTCAACAAGCCTTAGACCTTGGGGCTGTCTGGACTTCAACTTTAAGGTCACCTCTAGCCCTAAATTTTTTGCATGCTAGTTATACAAAGCTTTTCATTTCTCAAGTTCCTAAAACCCCTGATGAAACCAGTGTAGTACATACCTTTTCTCCAAGCCGAATGCTGCCACATTTCAGAATGTTGATGTCATTTTTGCAGTCATCCATGAAGCCACAGATTAGACGGTAATCACTGAAAATGATGGCCGTCATCTTGGTGATGTATTGGTGACATTGGTACTCAGTGATGTTGCCTCTGTGATCCACCAAGCAGGAAACCAAGTAACCTTTTCCTACTGGTTCATCAGCACATTCTTTAATCTGCTCAAAAGACAGTGGCTGTTTTACACAGTATTCTATTCTCACATCAAACAGCTTTTAAGAAAGAAAGAATGATATTTTCCTGTTGATAGTGTGTCATGCCTACTCATACTGTTTGTGCCCTCTAGGAAATACCTGATTAATGTGTTTCGTAAGAAAATACAGACATACAAATGCTAAATAGAACTCATGTCCAAATGGAGTAAAAAGAGCTTTATTGACATATTTCACCTTTATTGACATATAATTAAAAGGAGCTTTAAATATTCTAAATGGTTCTACTGAGAAATCCCTTTATGCATGCAAAGAATGCAATAGATGTAAGGAGATTAATCTAGAGAATAAGTCTGGAAAACAGGTGTAGAACTGAAGTCAGGTTGCATGTCCCAAGCCAAGCTACACAGCAAACTATTACCATTAAGTAAACCTAATGGTCAAAGGAAGGAGGAAAGGCATAATATTACTTCTTGACATGACGTTAATGAGTTCTGAACTAACTATAAATGTGGACATGTGTTTTTGAATTTAGTAAAATCTCAACTTTACCACTATGGTCTGGACTGGAATCATGTTTAAAAGGATGTACAGTGCAGCTTGGCAAGAAGTCTGGGAAGGGGAGGCCACTGTAAACTTAATTTGGGAGGTTTAGATATATGATCTAGCGGATCAAGCACACAATGATTCCACATGGCTAGTGGCCTGCAAAGTGCATACCAAACCACAAATGCCACGGAAGCAAACTAGCCAAAAAATGCTGAAATTCAGGCATAAAAAAGCGAAATCTACTTATAGGGCTACAAGCTTGAATTATAAAGCAAAGAAGATTGTTTGGGAAAAGCCTATTATTACATTTAAAGAAATAAAAAAGCAAACAAAAATGGTAGTTTTGACAAGAGGAAGGAGATAAATGTAAATATCTATTCTGAAAAGAAATGAGAAGGGAATATTTTGGTTGTATTGGTTTTTATAAGCCTATGGAGACCATTCTCCACTATTACACCACTTACTGTAAATATGTACATAGGGCAAAACAAATACAATCTCTTTCCCAAAAGGTGCTGGGTGAAGGACATACCATACACTTATTATCCTATAGGCCACTGGGTCTCTCTATGTCTAACTCCAGAGCAAGTCAAAGACTCAGTTCAAGACAGAAAGTTGTGTTTACTTTTAAAAAAGCAAACTTTGGAATTTAAGTAAACAGTCTCACACTGGCTTTAAGAGGGAGCATAGTTCTTCAACAGTCAAGATGAATGTAATTCTTTCAGTCTAACCTGGAATTCTTTTTTTATGATGCCTAAAAAGATGGCCATCAATACTATTCCCAGGAAAAGGATATTTTTTGTGTGAGCAAAACAGTGTTCAGTTTCAAAAGTAAAGGAGGAATAGCTCCTTGAAAATCTCACTGGGCTGGTGTAGTTCAGTGGTTGAGTGTCGACCTATGAACCAGGAGGTCATATGACCCAGTTGCAGGGTTGATCCCCAGTATAGGGCGTGCAGGAGGCAGCTGATCAATGATTCTCTTGCATCAATATGTTTGTATCTCCCTCTCCCTCTCCCTTCCTGAAAAAAACATGTATTAAAAACACACACAACAGGGTAGTGGTAGACACCTGGGTTTGAAAATTTAACGAAGTAGAAATATTCAGATAGGCTCTAATGCTGGGAAATCAGCAGGTTTACAAATCTGAAGAAAGAACAAGAGCACAGTTTGAATTGAACCCTAAGAAGAAATTAAACGTATATTTACTTTTAATCACTTGAGATTTTACTGAAACACAGAGATGTAATACCTATTTGTATTTCAGTTCACTGCCAATTCCAATAGGATGTTTAGTATTTGAATTAGAAGTTTATACTTTTCTTCAACCATTCTATTGGATAAAAGTTTAATATGACAGAAGGAAAATTTCTAAGATTAAGAGCAAAAAACAGCATTAAATCATCAATATATTTATGGGTGGGCGTTAACTCTGAAGTGGCTGGGGCGCAGATCCACTCTGTTGCTGACATGAAGGCTTGGGGAAAGCAAGCAGTATTTGGCTCAATCATGGGGGTATATTAAAAATTTGGTTTGTAATTTGCAGGTATTCTTGGGATATTGTTTTTCTCCTTGGAAGTAGGATTCCAAAATTAAGAAAGACAGGAAGGAGATGTAGGATAAAATATTTAGTTGGCAACTATGTTTTTCCTGATATTTAATTTTCTTGACTCTGATATAATCTCCCTCAAGGAAAGGAGAAGTGTCCGTGTCACCTGAATCTTTTACAGAATCAAAGCACCCCCCAAAGGTTACAAGAGGGCCATCATTACATACACATTATTAAAAAGTGTGTGTGTGTGTGTGTGTGTGTGTGTGTGTGTGATTCCAGAGTCTAGTTTCCAGCGATCTTCTTCCTTTAAAACCTTTGAATATATATATAAAATAAGCAAGCACAGTGAAATCATTCTGATGTATCTGCATATACTCTAAGCTAAATTTCCACATGGCAATCAAACTGGTATGTATAGCTCTGTCGCTACCTAAGGGAATGTGATAAGAAGAATATTGAAGCTAGAAGCTGAAGATCAATGTTTCAAAGATAGGTCATTCTATTCTGAAGCCTAAGAGTAAATATGAAGAAAGGTCACTGCTATAAAAGAATAAAACATATCTGATCCAAGATTAGAAGGTTTGAGGAAGAAACAGGTTCTACAAAATCCCATAATGACTTAAGTGAGGAACACAAGCTGAAGGCTTAATTGTTGGAGCAGGGTCTTCCTTAAAAGCTCAGGAGAAAATGTTCCCGACTTAAGTCACCAAATAGGGTAGTTTGAGGATAGATCTACATGTTGCAAGATCTATGATAATTATGTTTGAGGTGGAAAAATAGCAACTGTGTGCTCTGTATATTTCAATATACAGAAATCTCTGGCTTTCTGGAATTTCTATTACTGATTACAAAAAATGAAATAAGAATTTCTATATCGCAATTTTCACTAATATTATTTGTTCACATTAAGCCAAGAGAATTGAAAAATTTCCCCAATTAACATCCATACAATACTACACATTTTCATTATTTTTGTCTTTAGTCTCAACATCCATTTATAACAATTGACATAATCTTTTTATACATATTTTTAAGGCTAACTCCTATTATTTGAAGCATATGCCTCTGTGGTTCCATTGATCCAACTATATAGCCAAAATACTTAGGAATATTTATAAGCCTCCTGGGGAAACCATTTTGGTATGCCTCAGACATAAGCAGACTGTGAAAGTGTGAGAGCAGAGCTGAAGACAGAAGCAGTTGTATTCTCTGGGTACCAACAGAGCCTGATTATCAGCTTGCCTGAATCAACAGCATCCTACTGTAAGTGTAGGTGAACATTAACAAAAAGAAGTCTAATTACACTGGCCTTGGCCTATCTCTCAACCAATACAGATGTGAATTCCAAGAAAAGTAAAGTAACTGAATGAGTCATTCCTCCCTTAATGACTAGTCTGATAGAGATGTAATTTTCTCTTCTATGTCATTAAACACCCACAAAATTCTTTTACAACCTACCTCTGATATGGTAGATTTGCAAACCTCTCTGGCCACAGATTCAAATTTGGGATCTGTAGTTAGGTTCAGCTTATAATTCCACAACAACTAGGTACAAGAGAAGAAACAAACTTCAGTTAGACTTGTATGAAATTTACCATCAATTTCATAAATATAAGTGATTTATGATAAATTATGACACAAATAAATGATAAAAGTTCATTGTACAGAGTCAGATAAAGCATATTCAGACTTCAGTTAACGAACAGAAAAGGGGAACAAAATGCCACTGCATTTGTAGATACAAAGGGAAAAAGGTACAGACAAAATAAAACTACCATTCAGATATTTTTTTTTTACTAAACATTTTTTTTTAAGTCAAGAAAAAAACTAAAACCAAAATCCCTGCTGTAGTTTTCAGAGAAAATATAAATAGGTAGTATAAGCTAAATTCTGCTTAAGCCCAAAAACTCTAATCCAAAAGCTGAGATTTTGGGGTTTAGTCACAGATTTCACAATCAACAGAACTTTCATAAATCAGTTGATGAAGGAGAGTCACCGAGAGTCTAGTTTCCAGATATATCTGTCTTCATTCCTTTAAAACCCTTGACACCATAAGGTTGACTTTACACTCCTTTTATTACACTTTATTCCTCAGTATTAGATTCTTTTTGATGCTATTATAAATGAAATTGTTTTCTTAATTTCATTTTCAATTATTCATTGCTGGTCAACAGAACATACAACTGATTTTTGTAAATTAACCTATCCATGAAATCCTTAATCTAATTATGCATTTTAGAAAATTTCCCATAATAAAAGCTTAAAAAACTAGTATTGAATTTAACCAAATGCTTTTTAATGTGTCTATTGAGATTTAACATTATTTTTCTTCTTCACTGTGATTATTTTTCAAATATTAAACTTAACCTCAATTATAGAGTAAAACCAATTCAGTCTTGATGTATTTCCCTCCTTATATTTTACTGGATTCAGTTTGCTACTAACTTGCTTAGCATTGTCTCATCTATAACTCATGACTGACATTGGCCTGTGCTTCTTTTCTTGATATATACTTGTTAGGAGATATTAAGGTTATGATAGCCTTGTAACAAACAGGAAAATGTTTCCACGTTTTTACTGTCTGAAAGACTGGTGTGTAAAAATTAACCAATAAATCCATCTGGTCCTGGAAGTTTCATTTTTGGGAAGATTTTTATTTACAGATCCAATTTTTTTTTTTTTGGTATCATAATCTTTTTTTTCTTTATTGATTTAAAATAAACATTGGGTTATTCAGATATTCAACTTATGTTAGTTTTAGTAAGTTTGTTTTTCTAGGAATTTGTCCATTGCATCAACATTTTCAATTTCACTGGCCAAAAAAATTGTTCATAACTATCTTATCTCTTGCTTTAATGACATTAATTTATCCCTGAACTCTCTACTAGGTAGAAAGTTATTCAATTTTAAAAATTTGTTCCGTTACCAATAATGGGGAAAATTATAATGCCAACCCACGTGTTTTATTAGATTGCCAGGTCTGTCATAACACTATACTACAGACTGAGTGTCTTAAACACAGACATTTATTTTTATCACAATTCTGGAGTCTAGAAGTCTGAGAACAAGGTGTCAATAGTACTGATTTTTTTCTGAGGCCTCTCTCCTCTTGTAGAAGGCCGGCCATCTTCTCCTTAAATATTCACATTCTTCCCTCTGTGTCTGGGTCCTAATCTTCTCCTTTTATGACATCAATTCTCCTGTTTTCTGTACACTATTTGTCCCTGTTTTCCTTTCATATACTTACTATTCTCCAGCCCTTGGGGTTCTAAGGCACGTATCAGCTTCTTTTTGGGCTTCCCCTCTGCCAAATTGAGTCTACAGATGAATTTTGAGGTTTTCCCCCCCCAATCTTTTGCTTTATATATAATGCCATAACAAATAGCCTTTTATAGACACATTTTTAATCCATTCTTTTAATTATAACTAACTACACATAAATCCCTAGAAGTAGAAATGCTGAAATAAAGCATATATGCATTTTAAGATGACTGGTGTTTTTTTTTTTAAGTTTTTAAAATTTATATTTCTATCCATAGGCCAGAGCAGTGTTTAGCAAACTTTTTCTGCAAAGAGCCAGAAAGTAAATATTTTAGGCTTTGAGGAACCTATAGTCACTTCTGCAACTACTGGATGACTTTATAATGACTAAATGAAACAACTTTAAAATACAGAAATCTAACTTGTAAACTTGATAAACACAGAAACAATTATTTCATATGGTAGCTGTAAAAAATTTTAAGTTCAAGTACAGAAATATTATTTGGCAGAACTTGTTGGTTTCTACAGAGGAGGGATATTTATAAATTTATCATGGCCCTTATACAGGTTTATCAGCCTTTTTTTAAGATTAAGAGAATTAAGAAAAACATAATGCTTCCTAAAACATCAGGGAAAGCATCCCAAATTTTCTCATCATATATATAAAGCACATATGGTGAATTATGAAAAGTCATACTTACATGATTACAATCTGAAGAAATTTCATTTTCAGGCTAAAAGGAAAAAAGGAGAGATGATGTTTTTAAAAAATCTCAAATCTCAAGTTTTCAAACACCACCAAAATAAACTCAAAACAAGAAGTTTGAATATTCAACTAAATATGTTTCTTCAAAATAAGGAGTAAAATGGGGCTTTTACTGAAAAATACAACAGAAAAGTAGGTGAGATATAATCCTTTCCCAACCAATGGTACAATCTGAAAACGGGGAAACTGAAGAAGAATGTACTAGAGATAAAGCAATAGTGACATAGAGTCCTTATGTGACATTTCATAATTCTGAAAGCTAAAGAGGATCAGGCACAATAAGGATGTCCTTTCTTTAAAGAAAATTAAATATCTAAGAAAACAGGCTTATTTAAGAGAGCAAAGGAGGTCCATCAATGATTTAAAAATTAGTCTCCTGTCACTATTAGGGGAAGCTGGGTGATGGGTACACAGGAGCTCTGTGTACTATGTTTGTACCTTCTATAATCTTGTAACATCTATAATCTTGCAAGTTTATAATTAAAAATAGAAAGTTAAAAAAAACAGAAATTATATATACTAGTATATTCCCATGAATACATCTGTTTTGTAAAGCCAGGTACATGTACCAGAGATAAAATACACTTCCGATTTCATGACAAAAAAGCTGGACTAGGTTATGCCTAATATTGTATAGCTTTGAAATACACATCTCCTTTATCTATTTTATTTTTAACTTAAAATATATATATATGTATATATATATATTATTTCAGAGAGGGAGAGAGAGATAGAAACATCAATGATGAGAGAGGACCATCAATCGGCCACCTCCTGCACACCCTCCACTGGGGATCAGGCCTGCAACCCAGGCATGTGCCTTAACCGGGATCAAACTGTGACCTCCTGATTCGTAGGTTGATGCTCAACCACTGAGCCACTCTGGCCAGGCAAGAATGCTTTTAGTTTAGGCCGTTTTCTACTTTATCCCTCCTTTAGATTTTTCAACCAATCAGCAATCCTAGTTCTTTCTCAAACAAAACGTGGAAGGCAATTAATATCACTATAAATTTTTACTCCTATTCATTTCTACTAAATAACTTTATATTAAAGGGGCATTCTTGAAAAAAATTCAGAGCATTGGGGAATTTTCAAAATAACCTAGTCAAATAACATGTGAGCTACCATGGGAAAAAAACTGTTGTCATGTTTACAGTCCAAAGGAACCTATAATAGCAAATATATGATTGTTTTAATGACTTGCTTCCCTATATAGTGGTAGACTGAGTTATTTTCCTCAGTTGTCACTCTTTATAGGATTTGATATCTGGATCCTTTACCCTGTAACTGCACAGCCTCCTGCTGTGGACTTGGCACACACACCCTGCTCTACTGACGTTAGGCTAGGACTTGCTTTAGCTAAGGAGATATTATGAGCATAAACTTTAAATGTGCTTGGGTGGTTGAATTGTGCTCTCACATTCCTGAGAAGAACATGTCCAGGATGCTGCTAGTACAAGGAGACACGCGGAGCAGACCTAAATCCAACCAGGAGCCCGGAGCAGAGCCATGCTAACTGACCCACCATGAGCAAGAAAAATAAACCTTTGTCATTAGAAGCCCTTGAAATTTTAAAGAAAAAAGTGACTAATATACCTATCAAGCAAATTCCAAAACCTTTAAATTGCAATTGGTAACAATTATGATCTAATTTAATGAATTTCTTTATTAATTACAGAGTACTGTACTTTTGATGAAGGAATGACCTAATCCACAGAGACAAATGAACTGCAAATTTGGAGACCGGTGTTTGGCTTTCATCGCTTTTGTTGCTTTGATTTGCAATCAACAATCAACTTTTCTTATTTTTCTTTCATTCTAGATTCAGAACGAGAAGATGACAACATAGAAATACTTTAAGAACAAGGTTATGATGTTAAGCCATTGATATTCATAGAACTAAAGAGCTATGAAGAATTTCTAAGTATAATGGCAAATAATTAATCTTAGGAATTTAAAAGGGCTTTTACAATCAAAGGACATAATATTGGTTCAGAACAGTGATTTTCAAATTTTTCCATCTCTTGGCACACATAAACTAATTACTAAAATTCTTCAGCACACCAAGAAATATATAATGTTTTTTGCCCATCTGACAAAAGGGTATAATTTTGATTCATTCGCACTGAATAGCTATTGTTTTTGGCTGTTGTCATTTTTTAACTTATTGTCTTTAGAGAGAGGAAGGGAGAAAGGGAGACACCTACCTGACTCCAATGAAGAATGTGATGGTTATAGTAAGAAATAGTGAAAGCTGTCAACTAACTGAGCTAGGGGCTACATTTATTTCTTACAACGTGACAGGCTGGAAGATAAGTGGTAATGTGTTCAATTTTACAGGTGAAGATATTGCAATACAGAGAAACTGAGTAATGTGATGAAAGGCACACTCCTAGGAGATAAAACTGGATTTATGCTTTCAGTTTGGTACCTCCTCCAAAAGGCTCGGTAGGTCAGGTTAAGCACAGTGATGGGGAGCTGGGGGCCTTTGGGAGTTACAAGAAAAAGAAAGGCAGACATGATGAATAAACAGAACTAGTGCTCTAGAACAGCAATTTCCAACCAGTGTACTGCAAGAATTTTTAAAACATGTAATGCTTGTTAGTCAAGGGCACCAACCTCTTTTCCCTTAGATTGTCAAATAAAAAATATGACAACAGGCAACACAATAGCTGTCCGAGAATTTTAGTAGTTTATGTGTGCCATGAGATGAAAAAGGTTGAAAATCACTGCTCTGGAGTGATTTGACAGATATATGATGAATTTAGATGTAGGTAGCCCAGGTAAGAAACTGGTGGAATAATTAGATCAATTAGAAATTCTGGATTAGCCTTTGAATAACCACAGCAAGTTATAAAAAACTTTTCCTACCTGGCCAGTCTGGCTCAGTTGGTTGGAGTGTTGTACCGTAAATTGGAAGGTTTTGGGTTCAACTCCCAGTCAGGGCACATACATGGGTTGCGGGTTTGGTCCCTGGGAGGCAATCAATTGATGTTTTTATCTCCCTCTCTCCCTTCCTATCTCTCTAAAATCAGTAAAAACAGACCCTTGGGTGAGGATTTTTTTAAAAAGAACAACTGTGCTAACTTCATTTGGCTTTTCTAAATCAATGATTTAAATGTTTTGGGTATTAATTACAGTACTTTAATCTCCTAGTTGAGTAAGCCAAAGCTGAAACAGTTGATTTTAAAGCTTAACATCCCCAGTCCTTCCTTTAAGTTTTGTAAATTCAGAATTGGTATTTTTGTTTTGTTTTAAGATTTTTAAATTGATTTTTTTTTAGAGAAAGGAGGGAAAAGGAGAGAGAGAAACATCTATGTGAATTGGCTGCTACCTGCACACACCGGGGCATGTGCCCTACCAGGAATGGAACTGGCAACCTTTTGTTGCACAGGATTACACTCAACGGCCAGGGACAGAATTGGTTTTAAGGAAAGGAACAGAATGGTGGAAGAATGACCGGCTAACTGAAGTAGTCAGGAGAGAAGCAGTTTGATTTTGGGTGGGTCACTTAACTTCTCCAGACCCCTGAGAACATTGGACTAGAAAAGGGATTTCTTCCACTTAGGAGCTATTAACAGACTTTAGGAGAGAAAATGTCTTAAATCTAAATATACACTTTTATATGTGAGTACATTTTTTTTGACAAGAGATCCACAGTCATCATCATAATCTCAAAAAAATCCAAGACAAGAAAAGATGAAGAAATATTGGTTTAAGATGGTTGAGATTCTTTCTAGCTTTATGAGTCTATAAAATCTGAGGTGTGGAATATAAAAGTAGAAATATTACTGAATTCCACATCCTTTAATGCTGATCATTTGCATATTATGATTTTGGTTTCCTTCTTCATCTTAATCATTCTCTGCTGGTCAAAGTCACAGCAAACAGGTTTCAGAATACACGACTGAAAAGTTCGAGTCTGAATGTTCAACCATCACATTCATTTAAGAGGATGGTTTTTACAGAAAGTACAAGTCTGGAACTATGATTTCCCCAAGGTAAGCAGGCTGAGTTAATGAGTTTGGCAGGAGATATTAAAGATTCACAAAACTAACTTGGATGTTGTCTGTTTCTGCTTGGGAGTTGGATTGTGTCTTAAAATATGGAACATTCTAAAGTTACATACACTGAAGTTGAACTACCCAGCAGATCATACCTGGCACTCAATTAAGTGACAATAAACTCTGCTTATTAATCACCTGGGAGAAAACAAACCAAAAAAATGCTAATAGTGTCAGTGCTTTCATGGTCTTGACAAAATCTGAAGGCTGGGCAACAACCAGATGCCTCCTTCTGATGAGACATTCTACTGCAGTAGTAAATAAATTCTCCTGGGAGTTTATTTATAAGAAACCATATAAGCAATCCATTTATTAACTTGGTCCAAACCACCCACTTCTACCCATCAATAGAGCAAATTCAATATAATATAGTTAGTAATGTTAGATAAACCCAGTCTTTTAGTCTTGATAAACTTTCACTAAGTATACACTGAATCTTACTCAGATTCATAATTAAGTTCTTCTTAGTGCCTTATTCTAGGCTCAGGATTAATTTTTCCTGTTTGTATCCAGGTATAGTTTTTTCCAAAATGTCAGCGATCAACAAAGGCTTTATGTTCTGATTCACTGAAGAGTTGTTCTTTTGTATGATTCTTTAACATTCATACATCTTTTCAAAAAGGATTTACTATCAGGACCAGTGGGAGATTAAAAAAAGGTTACAGATGCTAGTAAATTAGTGTGGTAGAAGAGAAAAAGCACAAATCTGTACCTACCATCATACAAAGCAGAGCATGGAGATTGTAGGGGTAGGGAAGGGCCTGCTATTTTAAAGCATGAAAAAAGTAACACCAACCCCACGAGTAAGATAGAAAGGAAATCAGTAAGTCGAATGGAGGAGGGCACATTTCAGTTGAGCCTTAAAAGGAGGTTGTGATTTGATGCTGTGATGCTTCGTGTATGTTGTGGAAGATGAGACGGGGGTAAGCGTTGGAAAGGCACATTCTGGGCAGAGAGCAGAGACTTGAATGAGATAAATAGTGAGGAACCCTATGGTGACCATTCTTAGGTTTACATATTTGGCATCTCCTAATATGTGATGGGGTACCTACAAAGTTTTAATAAAATCTGAACACTGGCCCAATAATGATTTCCCATAATCCAAATTAATGTTATGCTAAACATAGTACAGAGTGTGGTGATTTCATTTACTGTTATTTACCTATGGGCTTCCCCAGGGAGTGGTGGGGTAACAGCTGGGAAATACTGTATAGTTACATCTTCTTTTTTGAAATCTTTAAATATTTATTAATTTAAAGAAGGAATAAGAACAGCTACTTCAGAAACTATAAAGTACTGATCTTCTAAAGGCTGAAGAAATTTACACTAACTGGACCAAAAATAATACAAAATACCTAAACACAGAAAGATTTGGAAAAATCCATCTCTAGAAAGCAGGACTCAAAGATCTCACTGAATGTAGAAGAATCAATGGGAAGCAATGCAAAGCTTTTTGCTGGGACATAAAGGAAGGAACCAGTCCTGTAGTCAAGAAAAAATCCTTTTTCCTCCTGATCTAAATATTTGCCTCTGGTCTGGGTTCAGAGAAAGGTTCCGATCATTTCAGCTGGTTGCCAGTCAAGGTCCCCTGCATCTTTCTTGGTTCGTTTCAGCCAGCTCTTGCAGACTCCTTTTGCTCAAGCACCAGGACCATCTGGCTGCACACAGTAGTAAACATGGAGGGGCTTCTTACTACTGTCATATTCCTCTCAGTCCCAGGTGCTGGAGCACACTACTGACTGGGATACTACTTTAGGCACAGCTCTGAGGAGCAGCCCAAAACTCAATGCCAAGCATAATGTACGGTTACTTCTACAGGAACATGTTGAGTTTTAAAAGGGTAAAAGACGATAGGCAAGACCCCCACAAACCAGGGCCCATTTATCCCTGGTTCTTAGACAGTCTCAGGTAAGTGCAGGGCAGGGTTCGGGCTATGGTGAGGTCAAGACTTCCCTGTCTTATACCTTTAAAATGAAAATACCCTCACTGCCCTTTAATTCTAATAAAGTAAAAGGGTTAGTAAATAGTACCGTGTACATGTATATGTCTACTCTGAGTCATTTGTCTGGTGAGAACTCTTACAATATTATGAATGTGGGAGGCTAGCTATACTATTGACGAAAAATTCAGAAGCATATATCCAAGTCAATGTATGTAATTCCTGACAGATTTTTAAAAATAAAAATTTAGGACATAACTCACACAGATATTTTATCTAATTAAGTAACTTACTAAAAAAAAAACCTTAGTCAAATTTCTTTTTAAATCCTCACCCAGGATGTTTTCCCATTGATTTTTAGAGAGAGTGGAAGAGAGGGAAAGACAGAGAGAAATATCAATGTGAGAGAAACACATCGATTGGTTGCCTCCTGCACATGCCCTGACCAGGGCCCAGGCTGGGGGGGAGCCTGCAACCAAGGTGACCAGAATCGAACCTGGGATCCTTCGGTCTGCAGGTCAAAGCTCTATCCACTAAGTCAATCTGGCTAGGGCCAGATTTTAATTTTTAAACTTTATCTAAAAATTACCAAATACACATTTTAGAACATAAAATAATATAGGGGAATTTTTGGCTAAACGCAAGTGAATAAAGTTTGTAAAGAAAGAGAAGTAAATATATTAATACTTCCTTTCTAAAGATTTGAAACTGAACAAATGATTTCAATATCCATGACTTACAAAATAATTATTCAACTG